TTCAGGAAGCTGAGTAATAGATGGAAGTTATCCGACAAGGAAATGAGAAAAGAGTTAAATGGTGACACCTATCCTTCATGCGCATCAACGCTCTTCCAGCCTCTTCCTTTGCCTTGGTTTCAACAATACCTTGTGCATACTTCTCAAGGTCAGAGCACATTTTATTCCGTGTTTCGTCATCCATGTCGAAACCAGATAATGCGTTGGATAGACCATAGACAGCCAGTTCTCCTTCCCGTCTAAGTAGCTTTCTTATTGCCGGCCATGTTTCATCACTAGCCCCATCCAGAAGTGCTTCCACCGGTCCGGATAATGCTACATTTAGTTTTGACTGCAATGATGATAATCTATTAGGAATGCCCAGAAAGGAGTTTAAACCTGCTTGATGCTTGATTATGCATACCAATATATGGCTTTTTGCTGCTTGAGAATTCTATTTACCTCATACAGAGTAGTCAGTTCAGACAACTTTGCAGTACGGACAGAAGATATATGGGCTTCAATATCTCGCTCAAGCTTTTCCTGAATTTTAGATGTATCCCATTTTGCTTGCTCAATAACAGCCTCTGCAACAAAAAAGTTCCTTTGTGATTCCCTTTGAGGTCGGATATCTTTTAGTTCTTCTATCATATCATAATTTTCAGGTTCTAACATGTTTTCCTATATCACAGTAGTTTCAGTAACATCAACAGTAAGCTATACCTTCACATCCTTTAACAAACTTAGATATGCACGACTGAGCACAGGTATTCGCTGAGGATGAAAACCCTTCTCCAGCATCCAAGGCCTTCTCAAAAGCATGCTTAAAGTTTTCAAGCGCTCCTGATCTTAAATGTCCAAGCACGTCTTGGAAAGTTGGTTGAACAAGCTGGATAGAACAATAAGAAAATGAGTGCCTAATACCAGGCATTTGCTTTCCTACTACCATTCAAATTTCTGAATGTTTCATGATTGCAAGTTTGAGATAAAACACAAGTGTAAAAGTCAAAGGTTAAGAGTATATGCATTACTTGCAATAATTTTTCTTGCAGCTGTTGTCTCTTTGATGATCGTACACTTTCTTCAAAGTATGTCGCTTCTGTGTCATACCTATGAGAAAAATTAGCAAACACGTGATAAGGAAACTCCCAGCCTCCTAGATTTATAATATATGCATAAATACCTATAGTCCAGTAAAGTCAGAACACAGGAAAAATCTGTACAGAACAATTCAGCATGATATTCTTACTCTGATAAGCAAGACTGGAGAATTGAGCTCAGCTTTTTTCCAAATCCAGAAACAGGACCAGACTGTACAGCATCTTCCAACTCACGCCAATTCTATTAAAGTTTAGATATATTAACGAAAGAGCCGTTGAAAAGGATAAACGTGAAGCAGTATAAAGGAAATTCACCTCATTCGCAATAAAACTAGAGAATTTTTCATTGGCAATTTCCTCACATCGCACAGTTGCTACCATGACCTGCGTATAGGCAACACATAAATAACAAGACCAGAAGGAACAATGACATAAGACTACTGGTGGGAGAGAGCCCTGGCACGCAAAATTACCTTATGTGCTGGAAGATCCAAGTCTTTGTTGTCTTTGATGACTTGCCACATCTGTTTTGCACTGAAAGCAAACGCATTGGCAGGGACAACTCCACGTCGATCACCAGCAAGTCCACCAGGAGCGACAGATTGGAAAAACCGTTGTCTCAAATTATAGACCTTTTAATTTTGAGAAAAAAAAAATGTAAGAAAAACAGTAATATCACTTACAAACCATCTATTGAGCAATATAAGGTGACACTGGATTTCTCCAATATGTAAAGCTGATTGTGAACAAACCTGCTCTTTGAATTGCTCTTCCTTTTCTTCATAACTAGAGAGGGCAACTACCTCAACCTGTCAAAAAAGAAACAGCTTCATTTCTTGATCCTAGCAAAACAAAAGAATGATACTAAGTTCTTTATCCAATGTCCAGGAGACGTACATTGAAGAAATCACTAAGTGGAGTTTCTTTGTGTGCCTGAGGCTTGGGGACAGAATCCCATATCTGTATTTAAGGAGATAATATTAGGAATTGCAGTATTAGTCAAAGGTCAAAGCACATCAAAGCTAAGACTGTTATCTTATACCTTTTGAATGTCTTCCCTCAGGACTGGTTCTAAATTTTCGAGTGGCGTCTGCAAATATTCAGGATTTAGAAACATCCAAAACCTACAAATCCGGAAAACAGAATGACGAAGAAAATAAAACACATAATGCATACCCGTGTTTTATCTCTTATGACAAACATTAAAGTCGTCTTCCGCGGACTAAACAACCGCATCATAACCTGTTTGCATGTAGAAAAGAAAATGATGTTGAGACTTCGGCTCAAAAATAACTCATCCAGATAAGAAGATACAGGGACATACCTGGAACACAGTCTTTAAAAGAGGTTTGTTTGCTGCTTGTTCCCGACCAATATCATGACACCACCTGCATTACAAATCCGAGAAAAAGTAAGATATAAGATAAAGATGGCATGTGATGTCTTGTTATCTCTTTAATACCAAAGAAAATAAAGTACAGAAAACCACTTACATGTTTATAAGAACTATGTCTGAGACAGCAAGTGCAAATAGAGCACTCTGTTTCTCGAAAGCAGTATCATCCTAACATCCATAGACAAGAAAACTTTGTAAGTAAGCATTCACTGACTCATTCTTTTTAGACAGTCACAATAAGTGCAAAGGCTAAAAGTAAGACATACTAACTGGCGTGTGATGCAAAATATAAAAGAACCAAATATGAAAACTGAAAAGGATTGAGGTTACACACCTCACCACGCTCTCTCCCATCGGTACCCTCTAAATCCATCACAACAGTGCAAGGCTCAATACCAGCGCATCTAGCAATCCAAATTCCCTTAGTCGTCTGAGACCTGAAACATGGAATTTTCAGCAGTTAAAAACCTTGAATTAGAAGCTCTATTCTGTGGAGACGAAGTAGACAAAGAACAGAGCATGCCTTCCTCGAAATGCATCCATTTCCCTAAAGTTTGTTCCAAACAAATTATTCAAGAGCGTACTCTTCCCTGAAAATTCAAGCAGAATGACATAAAATCAGTCCCTACACAAACAAATAGATCCAAAGAACTTCAATTAAAACATTCAAGGATTTGGTACATACCACTACTCTGTGGACCCATAATGGAGACAACAGCATATGAAAGGCCACATTCTTCCAACTTAACCTCCTTGATGAAATTATCAACACCAGAAACATTAAAGACACCATCTCCATCGATAAGCTGGGTAGAGCAAGCGGCATCTGCAATTTCAAAGCAGTAAAGAAATAAGAAATAAAATCAGCACACTCTGCACAAGTAAGGCCAAAGTGTCTCTAAACGAAGCAAGTTCTCCCCGCATGTTAACAACTGGATCTGAAATTCAGTCATTGCTATTTCAAAAATCTAGGCTTTTAATCTTCCTCACTCCTCGCATGAGTGCCTCCTTTAAACCCAGAATCACAATTTTGGATTTTGAATCAAATGCTAGCATTTTTGCAACACTAAAATAACTGTTAATCCACTAAAAACCTAGCCACGGTTCAGATTTTTCCATTAAAACCCCAAAATTCCCCAGAAATCAAACAAATCGAATCCATTTCACTAATCTGCTACTCAAAAAAGAACACAGAAGAACCAATCACCTACCATCTAATGATCAAAGAGACTTATCAATAGTTTAAAACAGATAGATCACAACCCGAATCACAAACTGAAATCGAAAATGAATAACGCTTGGTCAAAACAAAAACTGATCAGATCAAAGAGATTAAAAATACAAAAAAAAAACGGATCCACGAGATCAGGAACATTAATGAGCAGAGAAGGAACACAAGGGATGCGTATATATAAAATTACCCATTATCGCTCAACGAAGCTCAGATTAAAGTGATGAATGAAGCAGAGAATGGTGAAAGAGAGAGAGAGAGAGAGAGACAGAGAGATCTGTCGAGAGCTAATGGATGCACACCGGTGCTTAGACGACTGCTTCTCCAAAGGTCATAGGAGCTTCTTCTTCTTATTTGACAAAAGCAATATGCCAAAAAGTGATTTTTATTTTTATTTTTCAACGAATAAATCTACCTTTTCTTTTTCTTTTTTTAATTTCTCATCATACTCTTTTTTACCCCTACTAACAACATTTACTGATTAAAAAAAATGACTTTTGGGATTAATTAATTACACGTTTCAGGTTAATTAACACCAACATATTTTACCTAAATACATACTCTCCGAATAGAAATTTTAACTAAAAATATAAACTTGTACTACTATATTAATTCACTGAATTAAAGAAGAAAAAAAGTTAACTAGTGTGAGGAAAATATAATTTTTAAACCAAAGAAATTATGATATACTCATTGCATTGGTAGCCGGTAAAGAAGATTATAGGGTCCACGTGGGAATTTGCATTGGCTGGAGACAATAAGCTATTGGGCCCCGCATGAAAGCCCAAATTATATTTAGTTGGGATCCACCTCGCCGCCTCTTTTACCTTTTCTAAAGTTTTGGACGGTGGTGCTCCGCTAAGGTTTAGTAACACGTGGATCTTCCACCGTCCGATTCATTTTCCCGTTGACCGCAATCTAAACGAATTGAAAATCTTTTGGGTGATCGAAATGACTCTGTAAAATACTAAATAATGAAGAAGATAAAAAATAAATTAAGAAGTAAATAAATGAAAACTGAGCGCATGTTAAGAAATTAAAATATTCTTAAGACAATATGATAAGCTCAAATGAATAAAAAAAAATTTAGTGAAAAAGATAATCCTCCAATGTGAAATTAAGAAAAGATGAACCCTTTAACAAAAAAAAAAATTAAGAAAAGATGGTCAAAGTCAAATGTGATACATTGAATGAAGAATAGAAACACAGTATCACACGAAGTCCAAAACAATTACGTGAAGGGCCTGAAGGCACTATCGAGGCCCAGTTTAGAAAAAGAACGGAGCAAATCGTCTTTACGAGAGACCGTTGTGTTGCTTACGCAAAAGTCGTTATGTAATGGGAAAACATGTTGTTACAGTTCCGAGCAAAGACGTGTTTAAGGAACACAGTTTACGATTCTCTCGTTGTTATATTCACCAAACGAGTTGGATTTGGTTATCGGGTTTTGTCTTCGTTATGCCAACCAAAGAACACGGCTTTAGATTCAAAAGCTTACTCGGAACTTTTTCAGACAGCCGCGAAATCAGGCTCCGTGGTACTGGGAAAGCTCGCTCATGGCCACATGATCAAGTCGTCCTTGAAGCCGTGTCTATACTTGCTCAACAATGTTCTTAATATGTATTGTAAGTGCAGGGAGTTGGGTTTCGCACGCCAGTTGTTCGACAGAATGCCTGAACGAAACATTATTTCTTTTAATTCTTTGATTTCTGGGTATACCCAGATGGGATTTTATGAACAGGCAATGAAATTATTTCTTGAAGCTAGGCATGTTAATTTGAAGCTAGATAAGTTCACTTACGCCGGTGCGTTGGGATTTTGTGGAGAAAGGTGTGATCGTGATTTAGGCCAATTGTTGCATGGGTTGGCTGTTGTAAATGGTCTGTCTCAGCAAGTTTTTTTGATCAATGTCTTGATTGATATGTACAGTAAGTGTGGAAATCTTGACCAAGCAATGTCATTGTTTGATAGATGCAATGAAAGGGATCAAGTTTCATGGAATTCTTTGATTTCCGGTTATGTACGGGTTGGTGTAGCAGAAGAACCACTTAATCTGTTGGCAAAAATGCATAGAGATGGCCTAAATCTGACTACTTATGCTCTGGGAAGTGTGCTAAAAGCTTGTTGCATAAATTTGAACGAAGGGTTGATGGGAAAAGGTATGGCAATTCACTGTTACGCAGTAAAACTAGGAATGGAATTTGATATAGTTGTGCGTACTGCATTGCTTCACATGTATGCCAAAAATGGAAGTTTGAAAGAGTCCATAAAGCTTTTCAGTTTGATGCCTGCCAAGAATGTGATTACGTATAACGCGATGATCTCTGGGTTTCTCCAAATGGATGAAATAACTGATGAAGCTTCTAGTGAAGCGTTTAGCCTCTTCATGGATATGCAAAGATGCGGATTTGAACCCTCGCCGTCCACATTTTCAGCTGTGCTCAAAGCTTCTAGTGCGGCGAAAACCTTGGAATATGGAAAGCAGATTCACGCCCTCATATGTAAGAACAATTTTCAGTCTGATGAGTTTATTGGAAGCGCCCTAATCGAGCTGTATGCGTTAACGGGCTCAACTGAAGACGGAATGCGATGCTTTGCTTCGACATCTAAGCAAGATATTGCCTCGTGGACATCAGTGATTGATTGTCATGTCCAAAACGAGAAGCTTGAAAGCGCATTTGATCTGTTCCGCCAACTTTTTTCCACCAGGATAAGACCGGAAGAGTATACGGTTTCCCTTATGATGAGTGCTTGTGCTGATTTTGGTGCATTAAGCTCAGGAGAGCAAATCCAGGGTTATGCCATAAAGAGTGGAATCGATGCTTTCACAAGCGTTAAGACTTCAAGCATCTCCATGTACTCAAAATCAGGTAACATGCCGGTTGCTAGTAAAATATTTAGCGAAGTTCAAAACCCAGACGTTGCAACATACTCAGCTATGATCTCAAGCCTTGCACAACATGGTTCTCCTAACGATGCCTTAGACATCTTTGAATCAATGAAAACCCACGGAATTAAACCGAACCAGCAAGTCTTTCTCGGTGTTTTAATAGCTTGTTGCCACGGAGGATTGGTCACACAAGGACTAAACTATTTCCAAAGCATGAAGAACGATTACAGGATTAACCCGAACGAGAAACATTTCACCAGCCTAGTTGATCTTTTAGGTCGCACAGGCAGATTATCAGATGCTGAGAATTTAATATTGAGCTCTGGGTTTGAAGACCATCCAGTGATGTGGAGGGCTTTACTTAGTTCATGCAGGATTTACAAAGACAGCGTAGTTGGGGTACGCGTTGCAGAGAGATTGATGAGACTCGAACCCGAGGCCTCAGGCTCATACGTATTGCTACACAACATGTACAACGAATCTGGAGTCAATTCTTCAGCTGAGGAGGTTAGAGAGCTGATGAGAGATCTTGGGGTTACGAAAGAACCAGCCTTGAGCTGGATCATAATTGGTAACCAAACTCATTCTTTTGCGGTCGCTGATTGGTCTCATCCGTCGAGTCAGATGATCTACAAAACGTTAGAAACCATCAACACTGTAGATTTTGAAGACTACAACACTCTTTGTTCACTGTAATTAGTGCTGTACTTCTGTTACATGAAAATTAATCGCCAAATTTTTTCTCTTCTAAGATTAATAAATTACGAAATTACCAGTGTTTTGAATATTATGGTTGGGCCTGTGTCCCCAAAGCCCATGTATCCTCGTCTTTCTCGTACATTTTCGAAGAGAGAAGAACTCTGTGGGAAAACTATCGCAATCTCGGAGAAGGGAGACAAAAATGGCGGCCAAAACCCTAATCAGGTCAGGAGCTTCGTTGATGAATCGGTTTCTATCGAAGCCGACGACGAGTCTTGTGCAGAACAATCTCAGATCCTCATTTCAACAGATAGCTCCACAGAGACAAGAACTCCCGCCGTATTTTCTCCCGTCATTGTCGAATCTACAGAGCACGCTCAATTCGCGCCCTAACGACACTACTTCGATCCAGGAACTCAACGAGCGTGGGTTCCTTTACCCTTGTGGTCTTCCTTCACTCGAATTCTTCTTACCAGAAGGTGCGTCACTCTCTTACCTCACCATTTTGATTGTATTTCTCAGTAGCTAGATTGGTAATTAGTTCTTAGTGCCCTGGTGTATGAGTATGCTTTAATAGAGTGTGAAAGCAGTAGATGCTCGATCATTAATCAAGTGCTGATAAGTGTTCTGTTTTTTTGTGTGTCAATGTTTGATCCTAGATGAAGTCAGATATTTTTCCTACTTGCTCGTGTGCTGGCTTACACTATAGAAACAATGCTTGGGTTGCTTTATCGAGTCCTGTTATTGGCTATTTTGCTGCTAGTGGAGATATTGAGTTACGGTGTAGTGTTCTGGTTCTTGAATCGGATCTAGAATTGGGAAACAAAAACAAAATATACTTATGTCTTCATTTGTAGGATGGTCAAGAATCTGGCTGTTATACTTGAGTTTCCATATACAATTCATGAGTGTTTTGCGTCCAGAACCTTAAGAATAGTTTGTTGGGCTTAGAGCTTTCGTCTCTGTAACTTTGTACATTTTGCTGCTCAATGGTGCCTGTTTAATATGTTTGTATTTGGTTATGTAGTCGATCCTTCAAGCGAGCCATTGCTTCTGTTTCCTAAGAGGACATTCCAACCAAGCACTTTAAGGCGTAAACGCAACCATGGATTCTTTGCTCGGTATGTCTCTTTGTTTCAATCGCTTTTTTTTTATTCACTACTGGTTTGATTATCAGCAAAATCTAGTAAATCAAAACAGAAAAATTGAACTCTGAAACTTCTTAACTTCTAATCATTGCTCGTCTCATTCACAATAGAGAAATCCGTTGTTTAGTACTAATTGAATGTAAGAATAAAAATCTACATGGTGTTTGAGTGACCAAATAAAACTGCTTACTCAGTCAAAATCTGAATATGAGCAGGAAGGCAACCAAAGGTGGACGGAGAGTCATAGCTCGGAGGGTAGCAAAAGGGCGTCACAGAGTCACAGCTTAGAATTTCTCTAATTTTTCCATTGATGAATCTCCGGTTACAAAAGTTTCAGGCTGCACCTTCAGGCTAGAAAATGTGAAACTTGAATCTCTTAAATAATTTGGATGTCTTCGTCTCCATGTTTTGATGTGTTGTTGATCTCAGAATTGAAGTGAAGTTAAAATTTTAAAGATCTCAGCTCCTTTTGTAATGGATAGGTTAAATCAAAGAAAAAATTCTGCATGATGTCAACAAATGATAATTGTTTTAATAACGAAGCAAGACTGTTAGTCTATTATTAAGGTTTAAGGATACAAATTGTGTATTTTGTCAAAACATTTTGGAAATGATCTAAAAGAGAATCTCACAGTTGACCAAAAATATTGTACACTGAACTTGCATTGATTTATGACAGTCCACATATTGACCCTACGAAATATCATAGAGAGAGAAGTAATAAGCGACAAAAAAAAAGACAAAGATGAAGACAATAATTTCCAATACAGAGGCAAAACAAACTGACCATATACAAACACATGTGTACGTAGATGACGAGAGAGAGAGATAGAGATCGGACATCCTTCACGTATATGTGCTTACATACATATTTGTGTTTGTACGTGTTCATTAAAATGTGTATAAGGACGAACTTTATATGTTGAATCAAGAAGAACTTGCTGCAACATTCATGTTTTTCCTCATTATTCAAATTCAATGCAATGATAATACATATAAAGTAATTCATGTAACATATCACAAATCCTTGTACTATATGGAAAAGACTTTATAAACATATGTGGGTGATTATTTATGTTCCCTCTTTCCTTCTTATATATAGATGTAAAACGTATATAGATTCTATATAGGTATTAAATACGTACCCATGTCTAGGAATCCCATGTTGATGGAGTAAGACTAGGGTTTGCTTAAGTGATGACGTACTGTCCACAAGAGATTGGCGACGATGAGGATGATGATGGTATGACCATGTGATTGATGTATGAGTCCACTCGATGATGATGATCACCCGTAGTAGACATTTGCAAGTTGTACGAGGTGGGGAGAAGAAGGCCGTGATCTTGTGAAACTGGCGAGGAGGAGGATAGTACTTTGCCTTCGAGAACCTCTCCACATGATAACTTTTTGGCATTATCGTTGTACGGTGTTACAAACACGTTGAGTTTATTAGCATCATCATAATCTTGAAGAGTTTCTTGGAAAGAGGAAATGGTACTAGCTGGGAAATCTGGTAACGCTGGCCATTGGGGATCATTATCATGGGAAGAAGAAGAGAGTAGAGGTTGATGATGATTGTTTATGACTGCTGTGGCTGACAAAATGTCGAAATTGTTGTAAAGGTTATTGTCTTGATGAGACTGGTTTGTGTTTATAAACTTGAAATCTCCTTCTCTAGGGGTTGGGAACATCAATGGAGTCATAACATGAGGAGACTGGAGAGAGAGGTGGCTTGGAGTGATGAAAGTAGGGTTAGTAGTTGTGATGATATTGGACATGAATCTTGAACTTTCATCGTCGACATGAGTAGTAGGGTTGAAGCCATTGTGATAAGGAAGGTTGGTGAGCAAACTCGCCATGGAAGAGAGATGATGGTGATGGTGATGAAGATGATGGCCATGATGGTGGTGAGACATGAGCTTCTTTTTTATGCTTGAGTTCCAGAAATTTTTGACCTCGTTATCTGTTCTTCCAGGTAGATGTTTAGCAATTTGAGCCCATCTGTAAAATAAAAATTAATAACATGACTAGAAAAATAACTCAAATTCTTGATGAAGTGTTAGTTTCTGTTTCACATATATAATAATGTTAACTAATTAGCTGACGAACCTGTTACCAAGAATGCTGTGAAGCTCAATGATAAGAGCAGCTTCTTGAGGAGAGAAGCTTCCACGTTTAAGATCAGGTCGTAGATAATTTATCCATCTTAATCTACAACTCTTCCCACATCTCTGCAAACCTAATCAAACACACGCAAAATAACCCCAAAAAGATTAAAACCTAAAGACAGAGACTTAGGTTGATTATTCAAGAAACAAAAACTTATATGTGTATATGCCTGCATGTTTGGGAACAGAGCTCCAACATCCATGGCCATATGAATTGATGTAGTTGATGAGCTTTTCGTCTTCTTCGGGTGACCAAAGCCCTCTCTTCACCTTTTGCTTGTTGCAGCACGAGTGATGACCCATCCTCTCTCTCTCTCTTGCTTTCTCTCTCCGTCTCTCTCTAAGAATGTTTGTACGATGTTGAAGTGTTTTAAACTTATAATATATTGAATTGAGACTAGGTGAGATTAATAATACACACACTTAAAATGAGAAACGGCTGCAGAAAATTTCCCATTAGTTTATTACAAAAGTAATAGATAATAATATTCCACCTAATGATGTGGACCAAGTTTCTTCTTTTGTGAATTCAGAAACAACATACTATTAATGCAGTGTAATTTATAACTTATAGTTTAGCAAAAAAATTTACAACTTATCATAATTTTTTCCCCGGAAACTTAATTAATTATGATAAATGAGATATATATATATATATATATAACAAGTTGCAAGAAAATGTGCTAACAAATTAAACAAAAAAACTTAAATGTATTTAGGACACTGAAGACGAGAGTGGCCCAGTGTATGTTTTTAGGGGTTTGTGTTTATAAAAGGTTAAAAGGCTAAAAGCTGAAGTTTCTTCTCAGTATGAGCCTGTGTGGCTTATTACAGAATCATGGACATTGTCTTCTTCTACACAGACACGTGTTGATCATGCAGACACTGTAAGTCCTATGCCTTAGTTGTAAATTTGGTTTTCTAGTTGTCTTGATTAAAATTTTGAATTATGTTCATCGATAATTCATCGATATATATATATATATATAAGTGGAAAGAAACTTACATAAACGGATATATATATAGGCACCACACCACATATAATAAGTATATAATAAGGATTGCCAACAAAGGAAGTAAAGTTAATTTTAATTTTGACATAAAGGGTTCGAATTCAACTTTACATTAGATTCTTAATTTGACTTTAAGAGTTAAGAACTTTTTTTTCTTGTATGTACGTACACAGTTTTTTTACTGCAGCTTTTCTTATTTTTGGTTAATCAGATGTCCCCGATCGGAGTATTTGTTAACGTGAAACAGTTCTGAGTGATGTTATATGATCGTCATCAGCATCGCATGCGTTATTTATCTTATTTGATATATAGTACTAACGATGGGATTGATTACTTAAAATAAACCCTAAATCTGTTGGCGATTTAGTTGATTCTTTTACTCTCTATTTCCGGAAGCAACTGTGAGGTATAAGGTATTTATAAGATAATACATGCATGATCACAAGACCAATTTTTATTATCATATAGTCAGTTTGAGTGTTCATATTGATTGGTTAGGATACTTTTTTTTTTTTTTATCAAACTCTTAGATTAAGACTTAGGGAAATGTTACACTCCACTATGGGAGGACAAAGCTACAAAAGAGGAAACAAGGAGAGCAGTTATAGCGAACGCATCAGCTACACCATTGTTTACACACGAAATAAAAGACCAACATATAGAGGAGAAGGTTTCTTCCAGGCAAGAGACATGAATGATTCCTTTTGGCTCCTTGAGGCTTCTTTGAGAGTTGAGAAGCTTGATTAGGACATGAACGTCCGGATAGATCAAAAGCGATCGGTTTTGAAAGAGATGAGCGACCGAGGTGATGTTAAACAATGCACGACGGATCGCTAACGCCTCTGCAACAAGGGCAGACGGCACAAAGGGGCTTGCTTCTGTTGCAAGCAGAACCTTCTTGAACACAAAGCTCCCTACAATACTACCATTGAACACAAACGAAGTATATGGGAGGGTAAAAAACTCCGTGAAGAAGAGATGAGGGCTGTAAAAGACCCAATGAACCAGATTAACTGGGATGATGTAATGTCTCCACGAACTCTGTGGAAACTTCCATGAATCTACTTCTACCAGAGTCAAAACGGGACAAAATATGCATAATGCAGTAAATGATCGCAACAACGCGATAAAGGTGCTACAAGGGAGCACAAATATAGACACAAGAGTATCCAAAACCATGAAACCCGAAAGCACTAACTCCAAGTTCCACAAAAACAGAGCCGCAACCTCGATTGGTTAGGATACTATTGTGCTTCTTTTCGTATAAAAGTAGAGTAATGTTTAGTTGGTAATCATCAAGGGATCATGACTGTACGTGATTTAGCCATTGGAAACGTTTATGAAATGTAACCTGCTAGCTAGCACTCTAGTATATCCTGATGGGTTCGTCGGTGGAGCTGAATGTTCTGTCGATCTTTTTGGTGATTTATACATTATGTACGTTTGGATTGACAACCGAAAAATCATGTCAACAATATTATAACTAATAATATATCATATAAGTTGCATATATTTTGTGTACTTTGCTAAATGCATATGAATTCTTCGTAATTTAATTTATCAGAATTAATTTCTCCATATATACAAGTTTTATATGGATACATCTTCTGACAAATGAAATATAGGAACATATATATATATATATATATATATATATTATGTTTCATAGAACATACTTCTTATGCTTATACCAATAACCTAACAAAACCAAATTGACATTAATATGGTTCAGGACATAGAGATATAAACAAGGAATTTTTAAAATATATATATTTAACATAATAATAAGGATTGAATTTAATGCTTGTGACCGAAGCACTAGGCCCAAACATAAGATTCTTTTGATTTTTGCCTTCGATGCCCACATGCAACTAGTAAAGAGCTTTCACACTTTTCTTTCTATTTTTGATGAGCCATCAAAGGACACTAACTTTCCATACATTTTGGCTTTTTGCTTCTGATAAAAATATATTTTTCTTTATTCCAACAAATAATGGGAACATATCCTCTCCATAATTATTCTAACTCTTACATACAAAAAGGTTACATTTGAAATTTCAAAATTATGTTAATTAGTATTTTTTTTATTTGTGTATATATATAAATGTCTACTATATATGTATCTTTTTCTCTCTAGAAAATTTGTGTTCGTCGAGAATTTGATCAGTGACTCCACGTACATAAGAGCTTTGCCTCCATTGATAATTGTATTGTATTTTCTAAAGATCAAACCTCAAACATGCATGATACCATTTAGATCAAAGAACTACAATTCAGAACAAAATGTTTAGGATTATGCATGTCCTTAGTTTCCTTGATGAGCATTATGAATTATATATAATCTTAATAAAAAAAATCATTCGTGACTTTATGTATATCAAGAATAGATGTGTGCTAGTGCAGACAGCAATAAAAAGTGAACAAGGAAAAAGCAAATATATCAAAAAAAGAAAAGGCCCCAGTTTGCCTCCTCCGCCTCGAGGCAAAAGTCCCAAAATGAAATGCAAAGTGGTTCTCTCAATTTAGAGTGTCTTCCAGTTTTTGTGTTCTTATTACTCAATTGTTTCAATTTATTAACTGAGGAAGTTAAAAGTTCTCGTAAACGCATGTCATTACGTCTCTATAAATTTCATTAGTAAATAAATGACCATCATTATTTAAGCAATTGTTAATTGCTTAGGTTTTAGAAATTCTAAAATATAATAGGTGATCATCAACTATTCCTGTGAGCCAGTATATATTTTACCAAACAAATTTAATGGTATGTATATGTAGTTATAATATTTGGTAACACCTAGTTTAAAAACAATATATTAAACCCCCAGACACCTGATCGATACGTAGTTTTGGTTTCGTTGTGAATTAGAGAAGCACACTTGGAAGATAACGAAACACTAAACTTGCAATATGTTAAACTCCTTTGAAGTGAAATTTTGGTTATATGCTGTTTAAGGAAGTCAAAGCTCAACGGACTCGAGATTCTGTCGGAAGCATCCTTCATATTCTTAATTTGACATATATCTTCTTGGTGGTTCTGAAACTGACCTCTTAACCAATTTCTCTTACCCCATATTTTCTTTAGTTCCATTGATGGACTCTTAACATCATCAAACTTAACGTATGCATGTTTTCATATTGTTCTCCATGCATGATTCTATTGTGCATCAAAGCAAGATTATTAGTGCTTGTGCCATAATTCGTCTGTAAAACTGGATAACTCTTTCTTCCCCCGAAAAATGGATCGTCATTTTTTGTGATTTTGGAGGAACTTGCTGTAATCATTTTATGTTATATTTTTGCCAAATGTGTTGACCTTGCCGCTAATTGGAGATTGAACGCCACTTACCTATTCTCATTTATATAGTTTTTTTTTTTTGGGTCATCATTCTCATTTATATAGTTATGCATGTATATGTATTAGTGAATATGTTTAATTAGTTCGATTCATGGGTAGTTAGTAGTTACGTTCCAACATTTTATGTATACATTATGGGGAAATACATTGTGCATATATAAGAACATGAAAGTTTCTTGGACATAAATTACATAATATAAAAGCTTGCCACACGGAAAAGAAGGAAGCTCTCGTCACATATCCACCATAATTTGGTTCAACGTTCACTTTCATAGTTCATATGGGGATAGAGATAACTGCATGATTTTCTATAGAATATAAAATGACCCATATATATATGAACGATATAAAATTACCTTAAGAGTTTTATATACAATGTTAAAATAAAAATAAACTGTGGAAGCATGATTTAGTGCCTAGTCGGGATTTGTTTCCGAATAAATATGTGTAAAAAGTTAATTAATACCATACAAGATATAGATAGAAAAAAAAAAAAAAGAAAGATATAGATAGAATAGTCAACAAAAAACCTGTGAATTGTAGAATATAAATGTAACCCGAAAATTAAAACAAAAACAGTTGAGTCACTACACCATTAAAATTGTAAAAATATGTTGACTATATAAACTTTTAGAGTCCCTCGACGATTCATATATGATCAAATGATCGATCATTATTGTGGTATACAAGAGTAGTGTCCACTGATGAGGAAAATAATTACTTAATCCTTAACTGTTAGTTTAGTCAAAAAGGAAAATAAAGAATCAATGTGCTAATCAAATCACAGTGACATTTAACACAACTATTTCCAGGTGTTATCCAGTACACTGTACCCTTGAACAATTCATAGCCAGTCAAATATACATGTTCTTCTTTTGTTATATAGAAGTATCACTTAAAGTACTGCAGATAACTATTTTTTATTTTATTTTTGGATAAAAAGGTTCTGATTATTAATACTGTCTTCATAAATGAAGGCTAGTCAAAACGTGAGTAATTTTTATCTTTTGTCAAAGTCAAAAGTGAGTTCATTTTTACTTCTTGGAAGATAATTCAAATCTGGTAGATGCCTCTTCGATTCATTTCTACGTTGGAAAAAGAAATTTTTGTAAGAAAGTAGGAAAAAAGGTAGGAGGAATAATATATTACACTTGATGTAAAGAAATTGCTAAAACTGTGAAACTGAAATTTGAGCGATACGACGATTCCTTATTGGAGTAATATTCACACTCCGTGTGAGGCTTGGCGTTTACTAGTTTATAGAAACTAATTGATCGGTCAATTCTATGGAAATGTCTCGGACCATATTCTAAAAATAGAAACATGATGTGTCCATTTCCATACATTTATTCGAGCTGACACCATCAAACCCCTTCCTTACCTACGCTTTATGGTGGTGCCTGGAAAAATAACACTGTCACTACTGAACGAACACGTATGTTATACTTTTATTACTATAATAAGTAGCACATTTATATATAAATAAAGCAGATCAGTAAAACATGACACTAATCTTGTTTGTGAGATCACACTAATTTAATATGATCAGCCTGAGTGTTAATTAAAAAAGCAAATTTGATTGATATGAGAACATGGACGGTCTATATTCAAAGGCATGGTTTTGTCCTCATGAGATCAGAGTTGACTTTATTCCAAATTACTAGTGTCATGATGATTTCGATTCGGAATGAATCGGTATTAATATATATAACTATATGAGTCATATTATATACTGTGAAGAATAAATGTAATGTGAAGTAACTACTCTGGATAGAAATAAGGAGACCTTTTTCATAAATGAGACCCTTGTACAAGTTTATTTCTTTTATTACTCTTAAAGGAAACGAAGCCATTGAGCTGAGCAATGGCTCTGCAGTCTATGCACAGCTAGAAGAAAAAGAGAGAGAAATATATATTAATGGAGTAATTTCCTTGTAATGTATAAAAGCATTGTTCTGATGAATGGACCATCTCGTACATAGATTCTTGACTTCTCTTGTAGACTGATCTCTCTCTCTCTCTCTCAGACACTCGTATTCTTTATCTGTTTTCTTCTGATTTCTGATTCGAATATTTACTTTCATGTACTGATGAGACATGTCAGAAAAAAAGATATTCAATTGAAATGAGCTGTAAAAAATCCCCAAAAAAACTTATATTCAAATTTCTTAAAAAGAGAAACTTGCTCATAGGTTTAAATCAGTTTGCTTTTTTTGATCAAAAGAAAAAAGGCAAAAAACTTGATTAATTGGTACGAAAATTACTTCACTTGTCCCATAAGCAACACCCTTCCTATGCTTTGTAGGCATTAGGCCTAAAACCCCTCTAAAACCCCTCTAAAACCCACTGGCTTCTTCTTTCTTCTTCCTCTTCTTCTTCAAGCCTTCTCTCTTTATACATCATTTAGTAACCATCATCATCACATTTTCATCATCAGGCGAATGAGAGAAATAGGAAAGTGTTTTGTGGTTATAATACTGGTGATGATGATACAAATAGTGAGCTGGGTTGGTGCAACGAGCAGGCCTATTGCTTCTTCCAGTCACGTTACTAATTTTCATCCAGGTTTACTTTCTTATTTCTTCACAGTCTAATATAAGATTATACCATATTCCTTTACTATCTATGTAATCTACATATAAATGAAAGGGCAGACATGTAGATATGTAAGTCTGAATGAAAGACTTCTCTGTTTGGTTTCTGCTTGCAAAGAAAGGTTAGGTTGATCTCTTAATTGCTTTACTAATTTTATGAGCAAAATTAATGACTATTTTTGGACTCCTAAACAGTGGTCCCAAATATTTGCATGATTAACGGGGGGAAAATACAGATTTAGATATGAGTTTCATAGCTGATAGATGATAAATGTGCATACATGTTCTTGGGTTATCTATCTATGAAATATGTTTGCTTTTTAATAATGTCTAGATTCTAAATATATATATATTGGTTACTATTGTGCCTGCAGAGCACAATTCAGATAGGCCCATATTGAAATCAAGTGAGGAGGATAAAGAGATGGAAGAAATAGAGAAAGGAAGAAGAATAGGATCAAAGCCACCAAGTTGTGAGAAGAAATGCTATGGATGTGAGCCATGTGAAGCCGTCCAAGTCCCTACCATTTCGTCGATGCCTCACCTCTCTCCTCATTATGCTAATTACCAACCTGAGGGTTGGAGATGCCATTGTGCCCCTTAATATATCAATCATCTCTCTCTTTTGTATTCCTTAACTAGTCACAGTTTCACATACTACTTATTCACATGTATCTCTCTTTCAAACTATATATGATTATCCATCATCACTCGCCAGTACCGAAGAGTGAAGACTTGTGTATTGGGCCGGGCCTGACATTTTTTGTAACGAGGAACGGCTTGGACTTGGAAGGCGACCCAGAGTAGTAAAGTGAATTTAGTTGGTTATATTCGGTTTAGTTGGTTAACAAAACCGGTTATACTTTCCAGTATCATGTACACTTTGTACGGAGTAGTATAGCACAATTTGTACGGAGTACTTTTATGAGCAGAAGAAGAGCGCACACAAAAAAAAAAAAAAAAAAAGAAGAAGCCAAATTACATGTATTTTTCATTAAAAAATGTCGAAACTAAATTCACTATAATTGCGGTTCGATCTTAAGTCATATTAGTAAAACTTGTGACAAAGAAAATAAAACAAACGAAAATGAAACACATTAAAAGCATTGTGCTTGCCAACTAGTAAACCATTTGTTTGTTTATAAAAATTAGTCTTAATTTAATAAACTAATTTTGTTTTTATTTCTAAACTTTATAGTTTTTAACTACAAAAGCAGTAATAGTATAAAGAGAATCGCTAATTTTTAATTAATGAAATTAAAAAAAAAAGAAAGTAAAAATAGGAAGCTGAAACGGAAATTGCTGCGTTGGGTTTGAGAGAGAGTTGCAGTGTCAGGGTCAGGGACAGACTGAGATTTTCCCATTTTGATCTTTCTTTTCCAAAAGAAAGAAAGAGAGAAACAAAGCGAGAAGAAAAGCCCTTCTCCTTCTTCCTCTCTTCTGTTGAGTTTTTTGTTTTTTTGCGCGAGAGAAGCCATTATCAGCTTTTTGTTTCGTCTCCATTGGTGGAATCGGTGTTTTGCGCGAGTTTCTTCATGAGCGAGCCTCCCGATTCAAGGTATTTCTTGGCTCTGGAACTTGATTCCTTCTCTCCTTTTCGTTGATTTGATTTCTTCCTCGGATTTTTTTGGGATTTTGCGTCGCATTTTCTAGGGATTTCCGTTGTCTTGTGCTGCAAGTTTTTGGGTTTTCTGGTTGAAATAATGTTGGTGATTCTCATGAGATGAATCGTTAACGGACTCCTCGATTTTTCATATGGTCTTGTGATCTTTTAATTGTTTTTGCGGTGGTTTATGCAACTGGGGGCTCGATTGTTTGTGGTGGTTGAACATTTTGGGTCATTTTAGCTGAATTTGTTTCTCTTGATTTCTCTCAGTGGCGAGGGCCTCTGAACCACGGGAGTTGATCTTCTTCGTTCACATCGTTTGGTGAAAGGGAGATCTTCGTGTTTCTTGAACAGCTAATTCGCTCAATCTCTTGCTTTGAGCTGAAACTTTTGAGATAATGGGGCGTCGCAGAATAAGATCAAGGATCAGGAAAAGCCATTTTTACACCTTTAGATGCCTTAGGCCAAAAACCCTAGAAGATCAACAACCTCATATCATCAATGGACCTGGATTCACCAGAATTGTTCATTGTAACCAACCTCATATGCATCTGGCTAAAGTCCTCAGGTACACCTCAAACTATGTCTCCACAACTAGGTATAACCTCATCACCTTCTTACCCAAGTGCTTGTATGAGCAATTCCACCGTGTTGCCAATTTCTACTTCCTCGTTGCTGCTATTCTCTCTGTCTTTCCTCTCTCCCCATTCAACAAATGGAGTATGATTGCACCATTGATTTTTGTGGTCGGCCTTAGTATGGGTAAGGAGGCTTTGGAAGACTGGCGCCGCTTTATGCAGGATGTGAAGGTGAATTCCAGGAAAGCCATTGTTCATAGAGGGAATGGTGATTTTGGTCGTAGGAAGTGGAAGAAGATCCGTGTAGGGGATATAGTCAAGGTCGAAAAGGATCAATTTTTCCCAGCTGATTTGCTCTTATTGTCATCAAGTTATGAGGATGGGATCTGTTATGTGGAGACCATGAACTTAGATGGCGAAACCAACTTGAAAGTTAAGAGATGTTTGGATGTTACCTTACCTTTGGAACGGGATGATGCTTTCCACAGTTTCTCTGGAACTATCAAATGTGAAGATCCCAATCCTAACCTGTATACGTTTGTTGGAAATCTTGAATATGGTGGCCAGGTGTATCCCCTCGATCCTAGCCAGATTCTCTTGAGAGACTCAAAGCTCAGGAACACGTCTTATGTCTATGGGGTGGTTGTATTTACTGGCCATGACACAAAAGTCATGCAGAATTCAACAAAATCCCCTTCAAAGAGAAGCAGAATTGAAAAGAGAATGGACTACATCATATATACTCTCTTTGCCCTCCTTGTGATCGTCTCCTTCATCAGTTCACTGGGTTTTGCTGTGATGACAAAGATGCATATGGGAGATTGGTGGTACTTACGACCAGATAAGCCCGAGCGCTTAACAAATCCAAGAAATCCTTTTCATGCTTGGGTCGTCCATCTGATCACTGCTGTATTGCTTTATGGGTACTTGATTCCCATCTCATTGTATGTTTCCATCGAGCTTGTAAAAGTTTTGCAGGCAACTTTCATAAACCAAGACTTGCAGATGTATGATAGCGAGAGTGAGACTCCAGCTCAAGCACGCACATCGAATTTGAATGAAGAGCTGGGACAAGTCGACACAATCCTTTCCGATAAAACAGGAACTTTGACATGTAATCAGATGGATTTTTTAAAGTGCTCCATCGCGGGTATTTCTTATGGTGTTCGCGCCAGTGAAGTAGAACTAGCTGCTGCAAAACAGATGGCTATAGATCTCGACGAGGAGCAAGGTGAAGAAATTAACGACCTTCCAAGGACTAGAGGAAGGATGAATGGATATGCCAAAATGCCCAGCATGACATCATCAGATATTGAGTTGGAGACTGTAATCACTGCTACTGACGAAAGCGATCAGACACAAACCACTGGTGTCAAGGGGTTTAGTTTTGAGGATCAACGTCTCATGAATGGAAACTGGTTAAATGAACCCAATCCAGATGACATTTTGATATTTCTGCGTATATTAGCTGTTTGTCACACCGCTATTCCTGAGGTGGATGAAGATACTGGAAAGTGTAATTATGAAGCAGAGTCTCCTGATGAAGTTGCTTTCCTTGTTGCCGCTGGGGAGTTTGGATTTGAGTTTACTAAAAGAACTCAATCAAGTGTTTTTATCAGTGAACGACATGCAGGCCAACCAGTTGAAAGGTGACACTGTAACTGTAAATTTTCACTTGTTTCTATCTGTTCCAGAAAATATATCTAACTACTTCCCCCAATATTGTGTACAGAGAGTACAAAGTTTTAAATGTTTTGGACTTCACTAGCAAAAGAAAAAGAATGTCAGTTATAGTCCGTGATGAAAAAGGGCAGATTCTTCTACTCTGTAAAGGTGCTGACAGGTTGGCCTCATAACTTCAAGCAATTCAATATAGCAAATCTGTTTTTCTAAAGTAATGTTCAATGCATTATCTTGAAAATTTGCAGCATAATATTTGACCGGTTATCCAAGAATGGAAAAAAATTTCTGGAAGCCACTTCAAAGCATTTGAATGGATATGGTGAAGCTGGTTTACGCACATTAGCGCTCAGTTATAGAAAGCTGGATGAGACTGAGTATTCGATATGGAACAGTGAATTTCACAAAGCCAAAACATCAGTCGGAGCTGACAGAGATGAAATGCTCGAAAAGGTATCGGATATGATGGAGAAGGAATTGATTCTTGTCGGTGCTACTGCTGTGGAAGACAAACTGCAGAAAGGGGTATGTAGTGGAAGTTTGTATAGGATTACTACTAAGACGCTTATACATGAAATTCCCTTTTAGCTTATTGTTTCTTTATTCGTTTCAGGTGCCTCAATGCATAGATAAACTTGCCCAAGCTGGTCTCAAGATATGGGTTTTGACTGGAGATAAGATGGAGACAGCAATTAACATAGGGTGTGTTGGTCTTTTATGTTGCTGATAATACCACGACCCCAAATATTGGGTATTTTAACATAGATACTAAGTGGACTAAGCTCTTTGTTTTTCCAAATGCAGATATGCCTGCAGTTTGCTGCGACAGGGTATGAAACAGATATCTATAGCACTAATAAACGAAGAGGGATCATCCAAAGACCCGGAAGCAGTATGTATTTGGCTAGTACTTTATAAACCTCCATTACTGTTTCAGTTAAAGCTTGCATTTAAAGCGAGAAATTTCTGTTGTTGTAAATGTCCAGGCTGCAAGAGAGAGCATTTTGATGCAGATCATAAATGCTTCACAGATGATCAAACTAGAGAAGGATCCACATGCAGCGTTTGCTTTGATCATCGACGGAAAGACACTTACATATGCCTTGGAGGATGATATTAAGTATCAGTTTCTTGCCCTGGCTGTTGACTGTGCTTCAGTGATATGCTGTCGTGTCTCTCCCAAGCAGAAGGCACTTGTAAGATTGATACACAAGAAGTCCTTATTCTATCTTCTCATTGTTGATGGAAATCACTTAATTTTGTCTATCTCGGTTTTATAGGTAACAAGACTAGCAAAAGAAGGAACAGGAAAGACAACCTTGGCAATTGGTGATGGTGCAAATGATGTTGGAATGATTCAAGAGGCCGATATAGGCATAGGAATCAGTGGTGTGGAAGGCATGCAGGTGAGTAAACTTGTTTTCCATATAACTAGACATATACATTGGTTGATGGTGATATAGGTCTGTTTCTGATTGCAAATGCATTTCTCTTTCTGTTCAGGCTGTAATGGCGAGCGATTTCTCCATAGCCCAATTTCGGTTTTTAGAGAGACTACTTGTTGTCCACGGGCATTGGTGCTACAAAAGAATAGCCCAGATGGTAAATTTCTGTGATTTAAGTTGATTTACAGAAAATCCAATCATTACCCATCAAACAACATACAACCTGGTTTTGATTCACATTCTTTTCCTACAGATCTGTTACTTCTTCTACAAGAACATAGCATTTGGTCTGACTCTCTTCTACTTTGAGGCTTTCACCGGGTTTTCTGGTCAAGCCATATACAACGACTACTACTTGTTGATGTTCAACGTGATCCTCACTTCTCTCCCCGTCATCTCCCTCGGAGTTTTCGAGCAAGACGTATCTTCAGAAGTCTGCTTACAGGTATACTCTTCTCTGCTTATTTAACTCTCTCCAGTCTAAACCCTTCTTCTAATCTTAAATTTCTTCCTCTCGCTAGTTCCCTGCATTGTACCAGCAAGGCCCCAAGAACCTGTTCTTTGACTGGTATAGAATCCTTGGGTGGATGGGAAATGGAGTTTACGCATCCGTAGTCATCTTTGGCCTCAACATTGGCATATTCCATGTCCAATCATTCTGTTATGGGGGGCAAACAGCAGACATGAACGCAATGGGAACCGCCATGTTCACTAGCATCATCTGGGCAGTTAACGTACAGATAGCTTTAACCATGAGCCATTTCACTTGGATCCAACACGGCTTGATCTGGGGAAGTATCGTCATGTGGTACATCTTCCTTGCCCTCTTTGGCATGTTACCTCCAGAATCGTCAGGCAACATCTTCCACATGCTCTCGGAAACCCTAGCACCTACACCAATCTTCTGGCTTACCACACTGCTGGTCATAGCCGCCACAACACTTCCTTACTTGGCTCACATTTCGTTCCAGAGATCGTTAAACCCTCTGGACCATCACATCATCCAAGAGATCAAGCATTTCAGAATCGACGTCCAGGATGAGCGTATGTGGACGAGAGAGAGATCAAAGGCTAGAGAGAAGACAAAGATTGGATTCACGGCTCGTGTAGATGCCAAGATCCGGCAGCTGAGAGGAAGGCTCCAGAGAAAACACTCTATTTTGAGCGTGATGAGCGGGATGAGTGGCGTCTCAGCATCAACTGATACAACCTCCACCACACAACATAGTTGAAATGATCCAGTAAGTTTTCCTCTATCTTGAGAAATAACCATCAATTTGGAGGAAGCAGAACAAAGAGAACTGGGATTGAAGATAATAGAATACAAAGAAAGAGAAGGGAGAATGTTGTATCGTGTGAGTTTGTGTGTGTATACTTAAAAAAAAAAAAATGAAAAAATTTGATTAGAGATTCTTATAAATAGCTTCTTGTTTTAATCGTTTGAAGAAGAAAGAAAGGTTTTTGATGTAATTGAAGTGGTATGGTCATATTCACAGGTAGGTAGATATGGAAACTGAATTAAACTCATTATCTGTCTCATTCAAGAATCTCATAAAGACTAGTATACTACAAATCTTGATATAATTGCAACAAGAAGGAAGAAAATATCAAATTTTGTGTTGTTTCCTGTATTTGTTACAGAGAGATATATAAACACTCAGCACGAACGATCGAAGAAGAGATTCATTCAGAGGAAACATATATAGAGAGAGAGAGAAAGATTCATAGAAAGATAGATATCAAGAAATACCGATGATGTCTTTGAACCATTTGAAGCTCTTTCTAATGGAACCCTTCATCTTCTGTTCAACGGAATAAACTTTATAGCCGGCGACTCTTCTCTTCCTCCGCGATTCTGGATCGCTGAAACTCCAGCTCCTAGACGCCGCACGATCCGCGTTCGGCACGCTTTTGCTTTTCTTTATCTTCAACTGGTAATCGTTCGTCTGACTCTGATCGGCGGTTGAATCGTCGAAACTCACGCTGTGACCTTTCACCGAAGCTGCGTCTCGGCGGTTCCCAGCGGCTGGCGGTTCCATTTCTTTGTAATAATTCTCCATGGTGGAGATTTGAGTTATGGTCTGGTCTGAACCCAAACAATGAAGAGTCGGGTCGTCGTCTGTGTTTGTCTTAAAAAAAAAAAAGGAAATTAATGAAATATTATTATTCTTTTTGAGATATTTAAAAAAGAGTCTTTTTGGGAAATTAATTTACAATTGTCATGCGGAGTTGGTCAAGGACCTACTTATGTTTTTTTTTATTTTTCCCTCTTTTTTTTCTTCAAAATAATTAAAAAGTTATTCAGTATTATTTACGTAATACCGGTATAACTCGTTAGACTTTTCATGTTTGGATTTTGGTTCTATGCTTTGTGGTGGTGGTTAGGTTTGTGTGGATGTGATCCTTTCCCAACTATTTTCTTATGAGATAGGCACGTGGAACTGGATGGATACTGGATAGTCCGAAGTCCGAACCTCAGTAATTTATTATTATTATTAGGAAATAATGGAAGAAAAATTTACTTGACGTTTTTTTCTTAAAGAAACTTTGCAGAAATTAAGACCAATAATTTCAGTTAAAATTATAAAAGCGAAGAAACACCTTGTCGGTGGTGGTGATGGTATGGCTTGACTCGGCAATCATTGAATCCACCACATTCAGAAATTTTCAATAATACTTGTTTTTCAGAAAGAAAAAGAATAGTACGTAAATCTTATTTCCCATAAGGCAAAATAAATATAAAAACTAGTGAAGAAATGAAGAAGAAGATGCAAAAGCGAGTTCGTCGCCGTGTGGAACAGACTTTTCATTACAAGATTTTGTCGTTAATGCCAACTCGTGAGAGAACGTGCCAATGCATCTGATTTGATTGATGCTTTTGCCTTGTAAAAAGATTTAGCGTCGTCTATTTAATCTCTTTACGAGCCAAACACTGGCAATGATATTTGTACGACTCACGTAGTCTTACAACTAAGATTTAGCACGAAATGAGAAAAGGTTTAATACCAAACTTTTGTTGAAAGGATTTTGATGGATACAAAATTCGAAGACAAACAACAAAACCAAAAATTGAAACAGAGAAGAAATAAATACTCCATGAATAAAAATAAAAATGGTCAGATGAGAGATATGTTCGTCGAGGGGGGGAGAGAAACAGAAACACTAAGAAAACTTAAAAGAAATTTAAAAAACCGCTGATAATAGATAAGAGTAGAGACGACGGTGTCAAAATCAGATCAAAGAGTGCCTTGCAAAACAAGAAAACCTTTCTTCTCCGGTGATACTAGTACGGCAGCAAACACTGGCCAAGGACGGACTTCTTTTCTCCCTTCACAGCAGATCGGCCACGTTCGAAGGCAGCTCTTCGACAACCACGTTATAGAACTTCTGAATATCAAACAGCATCCTCTCGTCATCACGAGTCACGAAATTGATAGCCACTCCCTTTCTCCCGAACCTTCCACTTCTTCCGATACGGTGGAGGTAGTTCTCTGGCTGAGTTGGCAGATCAAAGTTGATAACCAGAGACACTTGTTGCACATCGATACCACGAGCCAAGAGGTCAGTGGTGATGAGAACACGCGAGGAGCCAGACCTGAACTCCCTCATGATGATGTCTCTGGTGTTCTGGTCCATGTCTCCGTGAGTTGCAGAGACTGTGTGGTCGCGGCTTCTCATTTTGTCTGTGAGCCAGTCGACCTTACGCCTGGTGTTGACGAAGATGACACTCTGAGTGATGGCAAGAGTCTCGTAGAGATCACAAAGTGTCTCCAGCTTCCACTCTTCTTTCTCAACGTTAACGTAGAACTGCTTGATACCTTCAAGGGTTAGCTCATCACGCTTCACCAAGATTCTCACTGGCTTGCTCATGAACTTCCTTGTGATCTCAAGAGCTTCTGGTGGCATTGTTGCTGAGAACACACCAACTTGGATCTTTGGTGGAAGAAGCTGGAATATGTCATAGATCTGAAAATCCCAAAAACAAGTGAGATTATAGAACCATAATGGGAATTGGATATGAATCACTTTGAAATATTGACAAACCTGGTCCTTGAAACCACGGGAGAGCATTTCATCAGCTTCATCGAGAACAAACATCTTGATGTTGTCAGCACGGAGAGACTGCCTCTTCAACATGTCGAAGACACGTCCTGGAGTTCCAACAACAACATGGACACCAGCTTGGAGGATGCGCTGATCCTCACGAACACTGGTTCCACCAACACAGGCATGAACCTTGACACCAAGGTAATCTCCAAGGGCCCTCATGACCTTCTCAATTTGCTGAGCAAGCTCCCTAGTTGGAGCTAGAACCAAAGCCTGACACTGGACAAGGGTGTAGTCTAGCTGCTGTAAGACGCCAGAGCAGAAAGTTGCAGTTTTCCCAGTACCAGACTGAGCCTGTTGAATCACATCAAGACCTTTGCAAAAGGGGACAATTCCTCTCTGCTGGATAGCCGAAGGCTTCTCAAAACCTAAGAAACAAAAAACAAGCATGAAATGATGTTGATAAATATGACATTAATCAAAAAGATAGCTTTCAAGAGTACTACTACACGTACCATAAGCATAGATACCCCTGAGAAGGTTCTCTTGCAGACCCATAGCATCAAAGCTCTCATGAACCTCATCATAAGAAGTGAAGAACTCATCCTGTCCCTCAAGTCTGTATCCATACAATACAATCAGCAACCACACCACCCGGAAAGAGCACACTCAAAATGAATAATACAAGAAAAAAAGACTCACACTTCATTCAGTTTCTGGTCGAACTGACGTGCATCAAACTGAGTGCCTTCTGGTGCAGATCCCGCCATACTACTTACCCAGAACAAAAAAAAAGAGAGAAATTAGATCTCGTGATGAGACAAGAGAGACAACGTCTATCAGATTTCGTGATAAATATGATTGCAAAGGAGGGAATGTGACAAAATAGCCAAACTCGAAGTCCATAAAGAGAGGAAAACAAGCATTAATATCTGCCTCAGATGATGTGCGGAGAGAACGTATAAAGGCACATGGTTATCCAATATATATAGACACCACTCAAACCTATTTCTCCAAAAAATAGACCTTTAAGCTAGACAACCACAATGAGTGTAAAAGCTGGATCCGTCCCATTCTATTGGGAACCTAGCGGTAACAAAATCTACAAACCATCACAGTAAAATTCAAAAATCTACAGATTCATAAAGACGGAATAGATCGTAACATGAATTATCGTCATCATCAGCAGCTCATATAATCTAATAAACAGACTAAAAGACGAGAGGTTCAAACTAGTTACACGACACGATCTAGAAACAACGAAAAAAAATCAAACTTTCAAATCTACCGAAAAACAGAACAAACGAATCACAGAACACAATAATAAAACAGAGACCCAAATCATGAATCGAGCAAATCACAGTAAAACAAGGAAAACAGAAAAATCAGAAGCGATGCAAACCTGGAGCAAAAGAGATTAGTAAAACGAAAGTAAAGGAGCTTTTTTCAGGGAGCTTGAATCTCCCAAACTCGGATCTGAACCGCGTTGAGAGAGAGAGAGGAAGGAGCGAAGATTGAGAGAGAGACTGATGCGAAATCCGAAAGAGGCAGAGAGAAAACGCGTAGCTTCCTTTATATACTCCGCCTTTAGGGTTTTCTCCTTTGGAAATCTTCTTCCTCTTCCTTTTCTTATTTGGATTTCCGGTTTTACCCCTTTTCTCTCTTTCTTTTTACCCTTTTCGCTCGGACAAGGATTCGCATCAACTTAACTCATGTCTTAACCTCAATTTAAACAATGTTTTTGGTGTTGTAATGTACATCTATGTATCTCTCTAGTGGGATATTACTGAGGAACATAAATTCTTCATTATTAATTTTTATTATTACTTTGTGAATATAACAAAGCAAATATTCTTCATAATTATTTTTTAAATTTATTTTCCAAAGCTTTCTTTCTCCAAATTACAAAGATAACAAAAGTAAATAAAAAAACATAAGTATCTCAAAATATCTTTATTATTAATTTGTGACTATAACAAAGCAAAGATTCTTCATTAATTAATTTTAATTTATTTTCCAAATATTCCTTTCTCCAAATTACAAAGAGAAATAAAATTAGATGACAAACAAAGTATATTGTCTCAGTGTCTTATTTAATTAATTATTATGAACTCACATCTATCGCTCCATCTCCATGTTCAATTTTTAATCAACTAATCCACATTCAAATGCATTTACAAGTGGTATCGAATACAGTAGTAAGCTTTGAATTCATTTTTTAAAAAGAAGAGAAGTTGTTGGTAAAAACTTGTCTCGATGCAGTTATCAATTGTTACAATCTCTTGAGAACCTTGCAAGAAACGTAGGAAAAACACAATGAGTACCAAGAAAGGTAACCAACATGAAGAAGCAGCAAAGGTTGCTATCTTCAGCCTCTAATGAACGACTATACTACAACTAAGCTGTTGCCATTGCCCATTGCAGACAGGACTGGAGAGGGCAAAACAGAATCGTGCTTAAGCGTGCAGAATGTATTGAGGAAAACCAAGCAACAGACATAAAATAATTTCCCCATTTATGTCCTGTTTTTGAGATTTTATACGGGCCTAATCTTCGGCCCATTAATAGAAATATGACTTTAAATCGGCCTTATGTTTGACGAATCCCCGCCGTACATTAGATGCCTATTCAGTATTCACTAACGCACCCGATGATCTCTCTGTCTTTTGGTCAGTCGCAAAAGCTCAGAGAATAATAATAACAGAGGAGAAGGGTCGGAAAAAATGAAAAATTGTATTTAAATTAAAATAAAAGTCAAAATAATCGGATTTGGATCTTCTGATATTTTTTTTTTGCTGACTTTGTTTGGTACAGATAGAGAGGTAAGGGAAAAAAACCCTAAAGATTCCCACACCATTTCATTTTTGTTTCCTTCTAATCGAGACATTCACAGTTTTGAATTCGGATCGGCTGACTCAGTGCACACAACAATGGCTTACGCATCTCGTATCATCAATCATTCCAAAAAGGTTTCTCTTTCTCTCTTTTTCTCTTTGGGTACATATCTGATCGTGTTTTAGTTCTTCGATGATCTCATGTTTCGTGATCGTGTTTTATGCATTTCATCATCTAATTATATTGTTCATTTTGTTTTGTTTGTATGATTTATTTTAATCATGGGCAATTCTGCATTTGCTATTCAGAGCTTTAGTGACCTTGATTGTGATTAATGTTAGTAGGGGTTCGCGTTTATGATTTTGCAAGTGTTACGCTTTATCTTTCTTTTAATTACTACTGGAAGAAATTTTACTTTTGCAAGCAGAGTAATTTGTCACTATAACGCCACTTTGATGGTTGTGTGATTTTGACAGCTGAAACATGTTTCCACATTACTGAGGCGTGACCATGCCGTGGCTGTCCGATGTTTCTCCAACAGTACCCAGCCCTCTCTCACTGGTAGACAAGGTATAACTTAGTTTGATTTCATTGCTCTTCTTAAGTTCCTTTGATGTAGAATTGTATCCAGCTCTGTGGTTTTTTTCTATTAGTTGACACGGTGACAAGCTCCACTCGATCTCTGTGGAGCTGGAATAGTTTATATTTTGATATTCACATCATTTTCCGACAACCTCTTTACCATGAGGAGTCCTGCTTTACTATGTTATCCTTCTCACTTAAGCATTTTCGATTTTTGGTCTTCAGATATCTTCAAGGCCCGCCTGAATTATTCCACGGTGGAGAGAATTTCAAAATGTAGTGCCGGCAATGTAAGTTCCTGCCGTTCGGTTTTCTTTCTCGGCTATGCCCTGATAGCATAGTCCTATGTGTGTGTGTTTTTTTGTGTCGTAATGTCCTTAAATGCATTATATAGGTATCAATGTTTAGTGGTATTTCAACAATGAGCACAAAACTGAGCAGCACAATGGCAGGACCAAAACTTTTTAAAGAATTTATAAGGTATGTAATTGCCATGTCCATACGTCTTACTGCCTTCCTGTGTAGATACTTCTACCGTAAGCAAATTTTCTTACTGTAAGCTAATTTTCTTGCGTTTCAGCTCCCAGATGCGAACAGTAAGAGGATTTTCATCTAGCTCAGGTAGTTTGTTCTTCATCAAGAGTTTAACTTTAACTCTTATTTGACGTCCAGCATGATAATTTGTGTAGAGAAAACCAGATTTCTGATTTTACTTCATACTCCATACTTCTTTAAGCCCACCTGTATTTGTATATGCTAGCTATGTAGCTGTTTGGTGATCTAAAAGGGGTTTATCATGGTAATTCTGTTGAGAGAATTCTGTGTACCGCATAACAAGATTGTGCAACTATGAGGAATATTAATGTTAACTGGAATAAGTAGCATCTGACTTGGTATTTGTGCCTTTTGGGGCTATCATTTTTCTGTCACTGTGGATATGCATTCCTACGTGGTTTTGTTTTACCGAGGACTTCTAAAAATATGTTTCAGATCTTCCTCCTCATCAAGAGATCGGGATGCCTTCTCTTTCACCAACAATGACTGAGGCATGAACCTTTAACTACCTCCTTATTAGAATTTACATGGTTTATTATTATATCGTTCTACTAAAGCTATCTGTTGAAACTTCAGGGTAACATTGCCAGGTGGCTGAAGAAAGAAGGTGATAAAGTTGCTCCTGGTGAAGTGCTTTGTGAAGTCGAAACTGTAATGTTAATCTAGATTGTATATCTTCTTGTTATTATTCTTCTTCCAGGAATCTAATACCATTCTCAATATAAATATTTTAGGACAAAGCAACCGTCGAAATGGAATGCATGGAAGAGGGTTTTCTTGCCAAGATAGTAAAGGAGGAAGGGGCAAAAGAAATTCAAGTTGGGGAGGTATAAGTGTTTCTTTTTTTTTTCTTTTAGCTGACTTGTTAAATATAATGGCTTCTCATAAAGTAGTGACTGTGAGCCACGCTCCCTTTTTGTAACTGTGGAGTCTCAGATTGATGAATTGTGCAACAAAATTGACAATGATCTTTATTTATAATAATCACATATAAATGTGCTTTGTCAAACTAGGTGATTGCTATCACAGTTGAAGATGAAGAGGATATTCAAAAGTTTAAAGATTACACCCCCTCATCTGATACTGGTCCTGCTACTCCTGAAGCAAAACCAGCTCCTTCTCCACCAAAGGAAGAGAAGGTCGAGAAACCAACCAGTACTCCTGAAGCTAAGAGTTCCAAGCCAAGCTCGGCTCCTTCAGAAGATCGTATTTTTGCAAGTCCTCTTGCAAGAAAGTTGGCTGAAGATAATAGTGTTAGTTTCCAAAAACAATGTTACAAGTAAAGCTCTAGTGTTAGATCCTCATGCCCTAAAAAACATTACTACTTTTCCTTCAAAAACATTAGGTACCTCTCTCAAGCATCAAAGGCACAGGTCCTGAAGGACGGATAGTGAAGGCTGATGTCGAAGATTTCTTAGGTATTGCTTGCCTCACTTTACTGAATTTACGTCATCCATGTCTCCTAATGCATCTTCCTATGGGACAGCTTCAGGCGGTAAAGAAAGTACGGTCAAGCCTACTAAGCTCACTGATTCAAAGGTTCCAGATCTGGACTATGTTGACATCCCTCACACTCAGATACGAAAGGTAAATACCTATACAACCTTAGATCTTGAATTCTAGTGGTATTTCTAGGTTACCTTGACCCTAGATCTCCCTGTTTTGGGCACTATAAGCCAAAAACTCCAAAATTTGTTAACTGTATGAAGTTTGACAGGTCACAGCCTCACGTTTGGCATTCTCAAAGCAAACTATTCCTCACTACTACTTGACCGTGGATACATGTGTGGACAAAATGATGGGGTAAGTATTAAGTTTCAGATCTTGTATTTTAATGCGGTCAATAGATGCTAAACAGAGCTATTTTTATATGCAGTCTTAGGAGTCAACTCAATTCATTCCAAGAGACTTCTGGTGGAAAACGGATATCTGTAAATGATCTTGTTATTAAGGTGCATCATACTTCCTTTCTTGCAAGCCGAATCAGATCTCCTTCTCTGTTCTCCATTATGAAACATTTTGCTATTCAAATTGCAGGCTGCTGCACTGGCTCTTCGAAAAGTTCCTCAGTGCAATAGTTCATGGACAGACGAATATATCCGCCAGTGAGTACATATTCTGCTTCAGAGGTTCATGAAAACTTTGCAAATCATCTAGTTTCGTAGGTCTTATTTTCCTCTTTTTGTGTACAGATTTAAAGATGTGAACATCAACGTCGCTGTACAAACAGAAAATGGGCTCTACGTTCCTGTTGTCAAGGTGAGGGGAGCTCTCAATACAGTTATTAACCTTGCTCTGCAGAAACTTGAGATTGCAGAAAAAACTCATGTTTATCAAAGTGCTTGATTGCAGGATGCAGACAAGAAAGGACTTTCCACAATTGGAGAAGAGGTTCGATTCTTGGCTCAAAAAGCAAAAGAAAACAGCTTGAAGCCGGAAGATTATGAGGTTAGATTAGATTTCGGTCACTGCTCACTTATAATGATACTACGAAAGCAAATCAACTCAAAACTGTTTCTTCTGACAGGGAGGAACGTTTACTGTCTCCAACTTGGGAGGACCTTTTGGCATCAAACAGTTCTGTGCCGTCATCAATCCACCTCAAGCTGCCATTCTAGCAATCGGATCTGGTAAGCCCTTTTTAGCACACTCATCCACTTTATTCATTGAAGTTTCTTCCCTGTAACTTATAATATTGTTGCGTCTGAATCTCAAAACAGCTGAAAAGAGAGTTGTTCCCGGTACTGGTCCTGACCAATACAACGTTGCTTCGTACATGTCTGTAACACTAAGTTGTGACCACCGCGTAATAGATGGTACAGAATCCGCCTCCCATTCCCTATTGTATATTCAATAATCATTGCACCGAAAACATCTAATAATTCATCTTCCTTTGCAGGTGCCATTGGAGCTGAGTGGCTAAAAGCTTTCAAGGGCTACATCGAGACCCCAGAATCTATGTTGCTCTAAATTCCAGACCCACACATACACACACATCAAAACTAAGCACATAAGAGTCTGACGTCAAATTTCTCTGGCTCAACATTTACTACCAGATTTGATTACTTTAGCACTAATGCCTTGAAAGTTGCGTGTTTTACCATTCATTATATTGAGTTGCGATCTTTTCTTCCCAAAATAAAATCAGGAAATTCAACAATTTTATTGGGAACTGGATTCTGGCTTAATGTTTGTTCGACTCATCATGGGTTGAGATCATAGAAACCAATTTACATATTTTGTTAATAAATACCCTCTTCACTATCATGGACTATGGTTTACTTGCTAAATTGCGAAAACATCATTAAACCAAGAAATAGATGTCAAAAATGTTAATAAATCACACGATAGAGTTTCAAGAAAAAGATGTCTATAAAATACCAGCAAAATATATAAAAAAGAACATATCTTCTCCAAGATCGTCATCACTTTTGTGACTTTCTCCTCCTCCTAATCTGCGGGAAATTGAGAGGGGTCGGTAAGGTCGCAAACGTAGTTGTCTTCTCCTTCGAGACTTTGCAGCCAAGGTTCTCAAAATGTGTCCTCAGCGCAACTGTGCTCATCCTCAGATCTTTCGCTATGTCTTCTGGATCGGTCTTGAAATTATCCACGTGAAGGGCTAGCACAAGAGCATAGCTTACTAGAAGTTGCGTCTTGTCAACAGGCATCCTGTCTGATTCAGGATCCATGAACATGCCCATAAATTTCCGACGGATGATATCTGGAATCCTGTGGTCTTTAGCGGAAGCAAAATTCATAGAATTTCTGTCCTTGAACTTAATTAGATGGGTGAGAAACGTCAAGGTACCAGAAACCCTCTGCTTTTCCATATCGTCCTGCATATAGAACAAAAAAATAATCAAATATGCATAAAGAATCTGAGCTGTAAATGGAACTATGACGATCAAATTTAACTATCTACAAGTTCAGAATCGCTTGGTTCAGTAGCAAACATATACAATGTTTACCACGTATATGCATACTACCAATACAAGAATCAAAATGTTACCTTGATATCTCGCAACTTGTACAATCTGTTGCGGACAAATACAGGGTAAGCATCAGTTGCTGCTTCAGTTTCCTGTTGTAGAAGCCGGTATATATCTTCAAGAAAGCTCCATTCTCCTTTTTCGATGATTTTTTCCAAAGGATAGGCTTCCCTTGAAGTCGTTGCAGAGGCATCGTAAGGAGGAATGTTGCGTGCAACATTGGAACTGGTGCTTTCAAGAGCACCTACATTAATATCGAGTTCATTAAGTTTTCCGTCAAGGAACTTCTGGGTCTCTGCATCATCTCCCACATTTAGGTCACGCTTCTTCTTGTCCTGCATAGAGACACACATTCTCATTTAGATATATAATCCTCTCATTGAATCTCAAGATTCTCAGTCATTATTGCATCCCATATAATCTCAGTCATTATTGCATCCCATATAAGAACTAAGAAGCAAGCAAGGGATATAAACTAAAGCTATATTGTTATACGTGCAATGATACCACTAAGACTGATACTGTAGAAAACAAGTGACGCATAGCAAAGATGTAAACAAGAGTGGCATACCCGAGAAACAGCTTTCTTTGTACCAAAAGTACTGTTAGTCTTACGAAGTCGATCTCTTATGCTTAGTTCTGAGACAACCGCACTTCCTGAAGCTTCTTCCTCAGTTGCTTCTTGAGTTTTAATTCTCGGCTCCAATCTGATTATCTGCAAGTAGAACCCAAAACTTCAAATCTAGATTCTTATAACACAAACCAAACTCAACTCTCAAAAATCATTCCTATACTAATTCACTAAAACATTCCCACAAACCAAAACCAATAAAATCAAATGAACGATTTTGAAACCTTATTGTGAGCAACCGGAAGAATCCGTATCGTCCTGTTCTTTCTATTGACGATACCCAACGCATAGGCAGTAGTCTGCATAGCAGCTTGCTCGCCCGTGTAATTGGTGCCCACGAACTCCACGTTTGCACCAGGAGGGCTTACCACAACCTGAAGCCTCTTCTTCGTCTCATCCTTATGCCTGTAGACCGTAACTTTCGGTGTCTCATTAACATTCTCGCCTGTCTTTGGATCTACTTCACAAGGATTGTAGCTTGTAGAGAAATAGGCGACGATTGGAGAGATTCTATCGGGTCTCTCGCGGATTTGCTTCACTTTAAGCGTAATTTTCTCGCCTTCGTTTTGATCCTCCTCATTCCCTTTCCTTTGCTTCTTTTCTATATGTTCTGGTGTGCTGAACTCCTCCTCTTCCTCGCTTACATGGTCAACCTTGTCTTCGCCTTCCATGGTTGTAGAGGTTTTGGATTCTCTCAGTCAAATCTTAGAAGATGCAAACAATGTTGAAGGGCTGGAATGCTAAAACCCTATTTTCGGCGACTATGTTCGTCTATTTTGCAAAATGGGCCCTCAACTTTTGTTTCGTCCGATTTGATGAAAAAGATCTTAACATAGTTTTGTTTTATATCCCTAAACTTTTTACTTGGTCTCAAAAGATCCCCAACGTCATCACGACGTCGACGATATCTAACCTGGTCGTCTTCTGAGAGAAAACAACGCGTAGTTCATCAGATACAAAACAAAACTACACGCTGTTTATGAAGATCCTATCAAAAACAACAAAACTCGTAGTTGAACGAAATTAACTTATATTGATCAAGATTAAAGACGTTCACAATACAACAGATCAGCAACCTAATGTGGAGATTTATACAATCCATTATTGATTATATATGTACCAAAGAATCCATGCAGAAAACATGTGATTATTTTATGTGTATCACATGGTATGACTAATTTCACGACTGTCGATTATATGAGCTGAGTAATTAGTAGATATCGTGGTGTGACATGGTTTTCTTTTGCCACCAACAACTTTTATAATAAGTTAGACGTAAAAGATCGAGCATTGTGGGCAGATGGGAAAATTCATGATCACTATCGACTAACATGTCGTCGAGTACGTAGTATTCGACCATATTAGATTATTAGTTCACTATTGGTAGTATAGTTTTATATTAGTTTACACTTTACAGTGGTAGATAATTATATATGTACAAAGAGAAATAGTATTGCGCTATTATATCATCACTGTTCCAAAACTAACGAATGTTCTACTCTTGATTTGTTTAATGGTAGGTATATGGAAGGAGTGTGTTCGACGCATCTATCTACTCTTGATTTGTTTAATGGTAGGTAGTATATGGAACGAGTGTTCGACACAAGTATCTACTATGAAAGCAAAGACCGTTGAATGAATGAAACAAGAGAAAATAAGCTCCCAAAGTCAAATTTGATCTTGTGAAATTCCAAATGTAAAACCTAGCTACAACTCTATGTATGAATATATATTAAAAAAGGCGACGACTCCTTAATGTCGTAGTCGTTGACTTGATTAGTTCTCAAAGAATGTGTTTTTATATCTACTGCCGTAATGTAATCAACAATATACGTCTTTTGCTGATGAAACAAGAAATTTCTATCTACCTCCTTAAAAACAAGTCTTATTTTCTTTTCTTTTTTCCTCTATATATATTATCGTCAGACGAACAAAGAAGTAACATATATAAATTTTTATAAGTAGTCTTTGCAAAAACATCATCGCTTCAAAATCATGGAAGATCATCAAAACGAAGAATCATTATCAGAGTGGTTTGCAAAGTACTTAAACCGCCAAAGTGATTGGCTAGAGAAAACAAGAGGGAATCTGATGGTGACGGCTACCGTTATAGCTGGTATGAGTTTTCAGGTTATGGTTAATCCTCCCGGTAGCGTGTGGCAAGGTGACAACTGTTCTTTCGGAAATCAAACCGGGGGTTCGGTTTGTAAAGGGAAGGCCGGGACTGCTGTGTTGGAGTACGAGAGTACCAAACGTCGAGCCTATATTGGGATGGTTATTAGCAGTACAGTCTCCTTTTCTGCCTCCATGAGTCTCATTCTCCTCGTCATCAGCGGTTTACGACTAAGGTACCAACCACTATATGAATTTTAAATTTATTCCACTTCATTTAAGAACACTGTGCTTAGTATGTGAACTACATGAATGTTTTGTGTTTGACAAGATAATACTGAAAATTATATACAGTAGTCATGTAAATTGACAATAAGGTGTTGACTTTGTTTAATATCCCCAACGGCTGACGTAAACTAATACAACAAAACAGATTGTTAAAAAAACATTACTAACTAGTTTGGAATAATAATCGATGTCATATATAATCAATATTGATTCATAGTTTTTTATGATTCATAGTTATCTTATGAGGTTTTTGTACACCAGAATAGTGACAACTGTTTGGTATAAAGATAAATTAAAATACAGTTCTTATCTGATGATATAGTTATTTACTAATTTATATAGGAACCGGATGATAATGGCGATCCTCGTAACGTTTATGGTGGCGGCGGTTCTTTGTATATCGGCCTCCTTCTTATTTGCGGTCTTTCTGGTTCAATCCGACGATAAATTGATTCGTGATATACTAACGATTTATGTGGGATTTTGGGTCGTGTTTCCTGTTTTAATACTCCTAGTCCAACTTGTTCGATTGATACATTGGCTTATTTGTTATTTGTGTTGTTGTTGTCGCCAACGTCGACGACGATCCCCTCGACGATTGTTGCCACTGGCTCCATCTCCGGCCCCTTAACGAAGAGTAGTAGGAACTAGCTACGACCATGTGGCTCAAACTCACGTATGAAACAAAAATGGTGTCAGCAATGTGATCACTATAATATATGTCTCCTGTTGTCATTTTTATAAGGTTTATGGGTTGAATCGTTGTATGTGCTAATTGCATGACATTAGTTAGCACTTTATATATGTATTTGTGAGTAGTCTACTTGTGGTCGTCAATATATTGGTCTTATTCTTTCAGACATATAGTTTCGGTTGTAAATTTAAATAAAATGATAAGCACGTTTCTAGTAATGGGAGCTTCTAATATCCGGAAGGACCGGGACAATAAAAAAAAAAAAAGTTTTAACATATAAACTATAGCCATGTTTCAAATACATACTCGTAAATCGTTGATTTTCATGTGATTGGATGGTTCAGAAATAATATAATTCGTAAAATAAATAACCCTCGAGGCCTAAAAATTAAAGATAAGTTAGGGAGTACAGTATTTACATGTCAAAATATGTCATGAAACTGAAAAGGAGAAAAAAGTGAGTCAAAGGGAGAGAAGGAGGTAGGTCTCTTGCCCTATTAATGGTCTTGCCTTTTAGCCACAGCCCTCAAAACATAATAAATACAAGAAAGAGAGAGAAGAGAGAAAAGGAAGAAGGAAAAGATGAGGAGGATGATGATGAACATGCATACGAATGACTAAAATGGAAACTTATGCTCTCAAATGGAAATATCCCTTAGTCTAAAGGTTTTCCCACCTTCTTCCTCCTCCTACCTTATTCACCATCATGATCATCGGTTTGACCAACCACCAAAGAGTGTTGCATGCTCTTCATGTAACATGTGTAGATAGTAGATACCACCAATCTTCTTACCGCTCTTCATATATATTATTTTCCGAACCAATTTTGGATGATAGTAATTATTTAGTTGAACGGCGCCATTTTGTAATTGTGATCATGGTAAGGTTAAACCATTGTACTATTAGGTTAACTATATAAGTTGCACTTCCACAGTGATATAGAATTGTCATAAAAAAAACAAGACAAAATGAAATTAACTCACTCAATCTTCAATTTTGTTTTGTAAACTTACCCCATTAAGTTCATATATAGGTCTACTTTTATTTTATTTTATTTTGTGTGTGTTCATAACGTTTTAGAAAAACTACAATGGTATCCAACAGATTATTGTCGATCAAAGACAATAAGATGATCTAGTCTACTACAGACGGGTTAATTCATTCTATCCAATACAACAAATTTAAACCCTAAATTTCGAGGATCATGTAGATGTATGAATGAGAGCATACTGCATCGAAGACTTATAAGAGTATGTGTAAGTAAAGAATGGTAGATAGTGGTAGTAGCAGTAGTAGTAGGAGTAGGTGTGTAAGGGAGAAAGATCTAGGGGGCTTCAGAAAAAAGGAGAGAAAAGGACAGAGCATGTGAAAAGAGACAGAGAAACAAACAGAGGAGTGAACAGTCTTACTCTTTTTTTTTTTGCTTTCTCTGCACTTAATGAACCCCAACCCTCTCTGTATATTTCTGATTCTTCACATGCCCTTTCTCTTTTTTTCTTTCTTATTCCTCCTCCTAAATATTTAAATTAGTTTTGTATAAATTGATAAAATTAGGGATGTTTGGCCGATATAGAAAAATATATATTTAAATCAAATAAAAACGACAAAATATCTAACAATTTTTGTGTTTAAAAAAGGACAAAAGTACTTTTTACACATCACTTGCAACCAAACAAACCTAGTCCCCTTCTTTATCCAATGGTCTCTTCCCTGCTCTCTATTCCCCATCTAAACACCCTCTTCTCTTTTCCTTATTTACCATTTCGCCACCTTATGTTATTACAGAAAAAAAAAAAAAAACCACATTTTTCTATGTCAATATGTTAAAAGAAAAACAAAATTTGTAAAAATCTTTTTTGTCGTCAGAAACTGTAAAATCTAAAATATTACTCTTTTTCAGGTCAGCAAAAAAGTTTGGTTTCTTCTTCTCGAGTCAGAGATTCGTGCAGTGATACACAAAGAAGCTCATTCCGATTTCTTTATCATAAATAAAATACTTGTAGTATTTCCCCTGTCGTAGACAGTAGCGTATTTATTTACAGAGCTCACTCAATGTAATAAACCAAAAGAAAAATGTGAAAAAAAAAACAATGAGCTTAATAGAAAAGGAAATGGCACTCATTTTTAGGCCATCAAGTGTTGGGATACAGCTGAAATTATAAAGTGCGTCAGCTCAAAGGAAGAAACTAAAAAAAAAAAGATTCCCAAAAATCAATGCACCCTTTTTTAAAAAACAAAACACAAATAGTTATATATATAGAGTTTCATAATAAATTCAACAATATATAAAAAAAAAGAGAGAGTAATTTTGAAGAGAAAAGATTGAGAGAGAGGGGGGGGGGGGGGGGGGGGGAAAGAGTAGTCAGAGAGACAGGAGCATCAAGTGCTGCAGAAGAAGCAACAGGAACACTGGGCCTGGACTCTCTTCAGATTTGCCAGTCTTTATAGGACCACACTCTCACTCTCTTCTCTTCCTCTTCTTCTTCTCCTTCATCCCCCTACCTTACCTACATATTTTACAATATTGGATATTTTAATGTTGTTTTGATTTTACACTACATGGCAAAACTCCTTAAAAGCTCTTGTCTTGATTTGATTCTTTTTCTATTTCTTTTCTTCTTTCTTTTATCTCTTTCTTAAAAAATTTAATGAATATTTTTTGATAAACTCGTTGAGTTTTATAACACATACTATATAATATAAATAAGTATCATGTTTCGTTTTGATTAACATTGTGGATCAAAATAAACCCTACTAGATCAGTGTCACTAATTGTAATAGTAAGAGTGTGATCTTTATTACAATTAAATACAAAAAATAGGGTATATATATTAAAGAGAGAATGGTCTCGTGAAGAGGAAGAACCTAGCTAGTCTTGTTCATGCAATTTGCATCTGAGGAATATATGCTTTAGAGTGAGAGAGAGAGTGAGAGAGATATATCAAATTATTCAGAGGGACAGAGAGGGTGGTCTTTTCTTTGTCTGTCTCTGTCTAAAACTCGGGAACCCTAATCTCTGAATCCATCAAGAAAGCTCTTTTATCTTCTTCTTTTCTGCTTTTCCTTTTGCTACATATATAAACCTTTGAGTGAAGCTAGAGAGAAGAAGAAGAAGAAGAGATGATGAGCCTAAGTGGAAATAGTGGAAGAACAATAGAGAGGCCTCCATTTACACCAACACAATGGCAAGAACTGGAACACCAGGCCCTAATTTACAAGTACATGGTCTCTGGTGTTCCTGTCCCACCTGAGCTCATCTTCTCCATTAGAAGAAGCTTGGACTCTACCTTGGTCTCTAGACTCCTCCCTCATCAATCCCGTAAGCTCTCAACTTCGTTTTTTTTTTTTTTATCGATTTCTTTTTCTTTTTTCTTTCATAAAGTTTCAACCTTTTGTTGATTCTAATGCCCAAAGTTTGCAGCTTTTATGTGTTTTAGAAACTTTAATTTTCTAAGTTTCTGCTCAAAGTCTCCAGCTTTTTCTTCCAAGCTTTCAAAAATTCAGTGTTCTACAACAATCTCTTTTTTATATTTTTTGGAACTTCAAAGATCTCTTAATTAATTAGTTAGGGTTTTACAGCATAATACCATGATTAATCTAAGGGTTTTATTTGTTATAATTAATATATGATGTAGTTGGATGGGGATGTTACCAGATGGGATTTGGGAGGAAACCAGACCCAGAACCAGGAAGATGCAGGAGAACAGATGGCAAGAAGTGGAGATGCTCAAGAGAAGCTTACCCAGATTCTAAGTACTGTGAAAAACACATGCACAGAGGAAGGAACCGTGCAAGAAAATCTCTTGATCAGAATCAGACAACAACTCCTTTAACATCACCATCTCTCTCATTCCCCAACAACAACAACCCAAGTCCCACCTTGTCTTCTTCTTCCTCATCTTCCTCTTCCACTACCACCTATTCTGCTTCTTCTTCTTCACTGGATGCTTACAGTAACCAAAATAGGTTTGGTGTTGGTGGAAGTAGCAGTAACACTAGAGGTTACTTCAACAGCCATTCTCTTGATTACCCTTACCCTGCTACTTCACCTAAACAACAACAGCAACAACCTCTTCATCATGCTTCTGCTTTATCACTTCATCAAACCACTAATCCTACTTCTCAGTTCAATGTCTTAGCCTCTGCTACTGACAACAAAGACTTCAGGTTCTATAATCTTTTTCCCTTGTTTCACGCTTAGGATTGTTATAGTTCTTAAAAAGGAAGAAACTTCTTATTTATTTGGGAAATCCTTTATTACAATTTCAGGTATTTTCAAGGTATTGGGGAGAGAATTGGAGTTGGAGAGAGGACGTTTTTTCCGGAAGCATCTAGAAGCTTTCAAGATTCTCCATACCATCACCAACAACCGTTAGCAACAGTGATGAATGATCCGTACCACCACTGTAGCACTGATCAAAAGATTGATCATCATCACACATACTCATCCTCATCATCATCTCAACATCTTCATCATGATCATGAGCAGGATAATCATCACCGACAGCAACAGCAACAGTGTTTCGTTTTGGGAGCCGACATGTTCAACAAACCCACCAGAAGTAGTGTCCTTGCAAATTCATCAAGACAAGATCAAAACCAAAAAGAAGAGGAGAAAGATTCATCGGAATCAAAGAAGTCTCTTCATCATTTCTTCGGTGAGGACTGGGCTCAGAACAAGACTTCAGATTCCTGGCTTGACCTTTCTTCCCACTCAAGACTGGACACTGGTAATTACTGCAAAAGATAATCTAATTTACGCTAATAGATAATAAGTACAGTTTTAATAATTGATACCTCTAAAATAATTTCCCCAGGTAGCTGATTAAGGATAGCATCAATGATGGGTCTGCACCAACGTACACACACAAGTTTGAAATGTTGAAGAGTCACATTTCACATCTATTTCCGTGGAACAATGAGACAGGACACTGTTTGCAGAAACCTATATGTATACATTTATGTATCTTTTCTCTTTTTCTATGTGTGTTAGGTCCAACAAGAAAAGTGATCCGACAGATATGTCTGTGTGTGTTCTCTTGCTTTCTCAAGAAATCGTTTTTTTTATTTTAATGTCGCTAAAAGCAACAAAAAAAACACGACTCTGTGAGGGGCAGTGCTATATATATTGAGTTTGTTTCTTAGGGTGCAAGCATACCTCGGATTTAGTTAGCACATCAATCTAGTGTTTTTCTAGGCCATTTCAACTTTCGTCTGCATGTTTGATACTCAAGTATGTGTTGTATTACAAGTGTAAAACGCTTATTCGAAGGATGACTCTTGGGCTACGTTGAAATTTATCCTAATTCTGGCTTAAACACAGAATCAATTACTATTGGGGGGCTATATTGAGTCTATGAAATGACGTTCCGTGGACCACGCATTCACAAATAGAGAGAATGGTCAAAACTCAACATAATACCAGAACAAATTCAACTTAGGAACAAACTTATTATTATATGTAGAAACATAAGAAATTTTGTCGTTTATAAAAAAAAAGAAATCATAGACAACTTTTGGGGTATGCTTCAATGCATGCATGTGCTTCTTTAGCAAAAGGAAAGAAGGGAGAGTTAAAAGACAAAACATCATGACACTTGATCCATTAAGTTTATTGATCTCTTACGTGCGTATGATTACTTGGAATCATTACCAACATTAATACTATTATATATCATAAATGTATTCTGAGGATTAGAAAAAAAAAAAAAAAAGCATATTGCCAACGAAAGATTCTATGAGCGGAATCAGGTCCAGATTAAAACCAGCTCATCTTTGGTCATACCAAACAAAAACGCGTCTTAAAACACTTTCAGAATAGGGAACCAAGATATGATCATTCTTCTACATTGTGAAACTATCCTGATTTAGACCCGTTTGCGTAAATCAAACCCTGGTCATGGAACTTTCACACCACCATATTAACTACTGATACCCAGTGTTATCCTTAGCTCTTCAACTACGTAATACCACCTGTTCTAAGTTCTAACCAAACCGAACTATAAATCCAGAGGCTAGTTATCAGATTCCAGGCACTTTGCAACATCACATAAGAAGGTAACTAAGGATCCAAATAACAAAAATTTTACCGATAAAACATTTTCTGATTCCAAGAGCTACCAGACACGAAACATTGGACATTTTCTGATTCCATGAGGTATCAAACACGAAAGATTGGACATTTTCTGATTCCATGAGGTATCAACTACAGTCTAAGCAGTTCCCATCTCAATATGGGGAAATAAACTTCATCTTCCTATCTTACTCTTCCTTGATTCTCAATATAATAACATCAGACAAACAAACTGAGACACCACAGAAAATGCATAAACAAATGAACTGGGTACAACCCCTGAATCCATTAAGCGAAGTAGAGAGAACGTAACAAGAATACTCAACAACACAAACACATTTGCCAACTCACAAAATGAAATTTGATAATCGGTTCTCATCTCACAGAATCCCTAGAACAATTTTACATGACTTGAGCCATTCTTTCTTTTTTCCCAACTTCTCTATTCATCACTCTCTAGTTAGCAACGTTAGGCATGTAAATGAAAAACTACACGACCTTAAAAAGAACAAAAAAATTCAAAGACTGAAAGATGAATACAAAGAAGGAAATAGTCAAATCCAGAATTTACCCAATTTACAGAGGAAAAAGGCTGATGAAGACTTTGAGGGAAGAAACATCATTGCAGCAAATCTTAATCAAATTGAGTTCCTTTCTTTTTTTTTGATGCTTTTGTAATTCCCTTTTCTTTCTCGTCGTCTCTCAAAAGTAAGATTTTTCCCGGTTGATGAAAACTCAATCAAAATATCTCTCTCCCTCACCCCAAAATTCAGTAAGTATGTGTCATCCTTAGAAGCTGCTTTCTCTTGAAAAGCAAGAAGGCAGCAACGCAAATCTGCAACATTGCTGCAAACCCAGCAAATACTAGACCCACTGTTTTCCCTGTGTTTAATCCACTTTTCTCTGATTGCTTGAAGACCCGAGAAGGAGGTGGGGGAGGAGGAGGCGGAGATGGCGGCCGTAGCCTCCGTGGCTGTTGGTTTCTGTTAGGGGATTCTCTGCTATTGGACTGTGGAGGAGAAGCGTGCACACGCGGAGGAGGTGGAGAGCGTTTAGAAATCGGCGGCGGTGGCTGCGATGGTTGAGAAGGTGAAGGCGGAGGGGGAGGAGGAGGTGATGGAAATGGAGGCGGGGGAGTATTAGGAGGGTTGATACCGCCGCCAGTGGTGGATTGCGACGGAGGAGGAGGCGTATTGACCTGAGTCGGAGTCTGTGGAGGAGGAGGAGGAAATGGCGGAGATTGACTCACGACATTTGGTGGCGGCGGCGAGGAATTCTGAACCGGAGATGGCGGAGGAGGAGGTGATTGAAATTGGGTTCGATCTTGTTGTGATTGGACAAGGAGGAAGCCATGGAAGCTGAGAATCATACCGAGAAGTAGAACATTCAAGGATGAATATAAGAAATTCAAAAAACCCATGAATATCACCAGATTGATGGAACCAAACTCGATCTTAGATATAATGAAACCAGCTCTTTTATCTCTTTCGTCAGCGCATAGTTGAATTCGAGGATAGTGGCATCTGAGATGAAAAGATCTGGTCAACCAAGATTGTCTTTTCTTTTGGTTGTTGTGAGGAAGAGAGAAATCTGAGGTCTCCGTTCTTCCTCTCCCTCTCTCTGTAATTCCCAGGTAGGTTCACACCTTAGAAGATGAGAGATGGAGTCCAAAAGAGGCAAGAATCAAAAGCAATCACCGAATCTGACAACTATTGTAAATTTTCTTTACCCAAAACACTGAAGATTCGAATTCGTAGCAAAAAAGGGGTCAGAGAATTCTCTTCCCGGAGACCAAGGTCGATTAAGAAGAAGAAGAAGAAGAAGAAATTGACTCTATACAAAGCAAAGAAAAAAAAAATTGGCGGAAAGGGTAAATTTTTTCCGGGAAAATGCAAAGAGAGAGAGAGAGAAGAGTAACGGTTTAGGGCTAAATCTGGGGGAGAGGAGAGATTAAGGAGAAAAATTGGGGGAACGTAGATATAGATTTCGATATATATTACTACATTACTAGCTGTATTAGTAATATAAACTCCGTTATATTTTTTTCGTTTGTGAGGGAGACGCAGAGATAAAATAGTTGCTATTCCGTTGTGAGCAACTACGGGATCCTATGTCAATCGCCCTCAGCAACAACTCTCTCATTGACCTCTCGTAGGCTCAATACACATATATTACGGCTCCAGGCCCATGTAAACCAGTCATTTACAGCCCATTTTGCATTCATTTTTTTCTAGAGTCAAGTGACTCAAGTCTAAGACAAGAAAAATCATAGAAGATGAGCATTATTTACTTTGATTGAATCAAATCTCTAAGGACTATATAAGAGAATCACACAAAAACTGGTACTTTTGTCATGTACTAATTCAGGGAAATAAAATTATGAAGAGCCATTCCTAAGGATGTACAAACAAGTCTCATTTACACTTGGATTCTCCTATCAAAGATAGTAGCAACTTGAATCATCATCATCAGCATCTGGCAGATCCATGTTTTAGACTGAGACTACATGAGCTGCAACTTAACCCCATGCCATGGAACTAGCATAGTTAACCACCAATTTACCATCAAACCCAAAGTTCTGCAATTATCCAAAGCCAGATCACATTGTTATGCAATGCTAACAGAAAAACCAAAATTTTCTCAAATAAGCCAAGATTGTAGTTGACAGATGGACCATGTAAAAAACTACTACTTTCAAGAGCATTAACCCAAATACAATTTGAAGGATTTAAGCTGAGAGAGAGAACCATAAGAAAAGTGAACATACTTACATTATAGAGATCAATGACTGATTCATCCGGGTTAGGCGAGAAAGCGCTGTTTACATACACAAACTTACACAATGGAGAGAGATATGATGAGTACACAAACCAATGACTTTTAAAACATAACAGAAAATATGTTGATTCATGCTTTACCAATGAGTCAGAGTGAAGCTGTCGTCTTAGAAATTCAATCACTTTAGCAAACTTATCAGTCCCTGAAATCTGAAAACAAGATCAAACCCAAAAAAAAAGCAGAGCACATATAACTCTATATAAAAAACACACATTCTCAACTACAAAGCTGTCTGTTTGTCCCAACTATCACAAAGCTAATGATTATGATTGTTGCCTAGTTAGTCCAGATACAATGTGAAAGAATCCTCCCATCACACTATAAAAGAAAATGATGAACAAACTAGTGGGTTTTTCCTAAATTCAATTTCATGGTCGTACATTGTATCAACTGAAACTCTAATCAACCAAAATTATATTATTGAAGATTTATAAATGCTCTATAAGGTTCGACCAAACACAAGAACCCTGATTTCGTCTCAGATTACATTTGATCATTCGTGATCGATTACAAAACTATCCTATACCTTAAATTTAGATTGCTTCAGTATCGGAGCACCACCGGTAGCTCTTAGATGAACAACAACTGCGACGAAATTAAGAGCAACAAACAAAAACCCAAAATAGGATCAGATCAGAACTGTAAATAGATAAGTCATCATCAACGATTCTTTTATCAGATTCTGAACCCAGGTGAATCGAGCTTATTGTCTGGAAATTAAATCCAGTAGATTCAATACAGAAAAGAAGAACCTCGTCGACGACTTACTTTTCTGAACAGAGTTTGGAGATTCAACAGTCGCCATTGTTGTTGGGGCTTTGGTTTGACAGAGAAAAGTAAAGAACAAAATTGACAACGATTCACTGCGTTTTGCTTTCGAGAAAGTTACAGATTTGTTTGGGTATTTAAAGCCCATTTATCATATCATTTTTTGAACCCATGAGGCCCAGCGCAAGCACAATTAATTTACTAACCTACTATCAACTATCAAATATCACATTTGGTTTTAATATCTTTTTTTTTTAATCAAGGTTTTGGGATATATAGGATGTAAAAAATATAAATCTTAAAAACTGATCAGAGGAAAAAAACGAGATTATGTATAAAATCACATAGTCATCAACTTATCATAAATTCATATGATTATATTTAATCATCATTTTGTTGGTTAACAAAAGAAAGAGAAAAGAAAGAAAAAAACGTTGGTGTTGTGTTTCGTTTAGATTTATATTACATGACGAGAGAGACTAAACAAGACGATGACATTGACGCATATATAGAAAACAAGACGATGACATTGACCCATATATGAAAATAGATCAATCGTTATCGTTATAAAGTAATGTCGAATAAAATTATGACTATTACTAGGGGATGGTCCAAAAAGATAGATATATAGAAGACAAGCTCATGCATTAGGCATCATGCATACGGGCACTAAGAATTAATGATTTGGAGTTAGGTTTTTGACGAATCCAAAGGCAATAGTAATATGTTGATCTCATCTACAGTCATTTTCATTGTACCTTTAGAAAAAAATGAAACTTTAGCAGTTGGAATTAGAAATAGAATCAAATATATTGATATGTACTCTTAGCAAAAAACTATAACCAATAAATTCACAAAAAGAAAATATAATAACAAAACAAAACGAAAATGAACGGAAGAAATGTGTTTGCCATGGCACTATATATATGGCAGATGGTGAAAGTTATACACGCACGTCATCGTTCATCGAGAGATTAGATGCCTCTCAGACAAAAAGAATGGAAACACAACACAATATAATCTTGTTGGAATCAAACAAGAACATCCTTCTTTTTCGAATTTTGGGGTTTAGCTTCCAACATTCTCTTCTTTTGCTTTCCTTCTCGTGTCTTGAGTTTTGACCACTAAAATTATAAAATCTTCAAAATGTATAGTTGTATACACTTAAGATGTGTGTGAAGTGGTACTAGAAAAAGCAATTCTTATATCACTTTCACCAATCTCTAGAAAATTAGAATACATTCATCACTTTGAATCAATGCAATTATTAATTATAACAGCTTGAAAAACTGTGGAGTATTTTTAGTTTTCAATAACTTGAATAGATTTTTGAATCTAAAGCCATATTAATCTCTGAATAACATATGTAGACAATCAGGTATATTTTAACATATAAGATAGTTACTCTAATGTCAAAAAAAAGTACGAACTATAACTTGTATAAATTAGCTATGTCAAAAACCATGTCGGTTAATCCATCAAATTGAAGAAAAATAGTATCACGACAAAGTAGTATCATGATCAAAAGCTACGAAACAGTGAGTTTTCTTGTTAAAAAAAACGATGTATATATATTTGGTTAGTTTTGTTGGCATCGTAACGTTCAAAAAAAATAAAAAAACAAAATAAAGGAGAACAGTGTTTGCAACTTTTGATCCTGGTCCAGTGTGGGGATCTACAAATTTTGGATGTGGAGTGGAAGATTTTTTCCATAGGGATCATCTCAGAAAAATACCAAGTGCTAGCTAACACGTGTGCACGTGGGAGAAGTTACGACACTTAAAAGTGGCCACCCCCGTCACGTGCGGGCTACATTCGTATCCACTCGTTTCTTCCCGGCCGGTCCGCCCTATCTCCTCTTCATTATTGGTCCATCTCTTCGTCTCTTTCCCATACATTTTCCCTAATCTTTCGTCTTCTCTTTTTTATTAACATTTTTTCTATCATCTATTCTATTTCTATAGCTAATGCATATTTAAAACTAAACTGTCTTTTAATTAATTAGGCTACCACTAAAATAAGCATTTCTATATAAATGATACACTTGGGATATATGTCGAAACGCAGTTTTACTATAGCTAATGATACACATATGAAAGCTTATAATAGTAGCGTTGACTTGAGAGTGTCCCACTATTGCACCATATGTACCGTTTTACGACGACATGTACACGTCCGTGCACACTCACAATATAGAGAGTAAGTACTATCGAATTAAATATACATATAGTGGATTGAGTGTGTCGTAGCTTGTGTGATTTGAAATGGTGTTAAGCCCTAGCTACTTAATATACTTATAGAAATAGCTGGTAGTGCATGAGAATGACGAGTTGTGCATGGTTGATATGGGACATTGTATGCCCATTAATTATTCTTTTATCTTTATTATTATAACATGTACATTCATATCAATATAATTTGTTATGTATATATGAAATGTAGCTGTCCAAATTGAATGATTTTATTGATTTGTATGATCACGACGAAACTTCTTCATTAATACAGTACGTATTTATACACTCTATTATTAATCCTCGAAAGAAATTCACTATAGTGTTATAGACAATACATATATACGCAAAAATTGTTACATTAGTTTACAAATTACTCCATATGAAAGGAAACTAAAACATTTAAGTATTGTTTTTATGCCCTACAAAAAATATAGTCACGTACCATCGTCCTTACCGCCATTTTGTTTTGTATTAGAAAAGGTAAATTACTTCTTTAATTGATTAGGTTTGATTGTTGGAGTCAAACTTTGGAAATTAATTGGCTAAATCAGCACGTTACTCTCATGATTATATTTTCACTTTCATAACTCCCCCACTTCACCCACCACAAATGGGGACAAAATCCACATATATATTAGTATACTTAATTACCGATGTTACACTAATTAACTTACTTAAACTTTTTCCTTAAATTAGAGTACTGTCACCAATTCAAAGTTCGAAATATCTTTGATTCTGTAAGTATCCGTTTATTGAGTACTATTTATTTCCTTTTTTCATATTGAAGCTATTACAGGATTTGATTCTCGATGATGCGGGACTTGCAAGCTACAGCTTAAATAATCCGTTTTATTAAAGTGAACTAAAACAAATGAAAAGAAAATAAAAGTTGGAAGTTGGGGTACTACTACTAGACTATGTGATCTTTCCTTTGTATCGGATACTTTTGACTACATAGCCATATTAGCCTTTCTTTTAGTTTGTATAGGCAATAATCTACTTGCGTTATACTTTACTTATTATATAAGTACATATATTTCAAGCTAAGTAGCATGTTTGTGTTAGCTTTAATAGCTTATCATACCGCTATGATTCGCGGTGTGGTCCAAAATGTTACTTTGAACAAAACTTAATCTTGGTCATGCTTTTTAATTTTTTTTTTATAAGCTTATGCAAAGAAATTCCGAAATATGAATATATTATATGATTTACAACGTTTCATGTGTGGATTCTTTTATCTTTCTATCAGTGCAATCAAATCGAAGGCATGACATGACAAGCTGACATATGTACGTAAAAACATTAATAACACATGATTCGTTATTTTGATGTGTAGTGTTTTCAGCAGATACCTTTTAACCATTATAGAATCTATTAATTTGCATGTCAGGTTAAGAAAGAGTTGATCACATACCAAACATGTTCTAATATACTAAATTACTAACAACATACCAAAATTTAACAGAATCTATCGTGAGTTCGTGACACTAAATATATTAAAGACTACTAACGTAACGTTCACCATCCTCTTGTTTAATCATAATCAGTGTTTGTAAGTGAAAGAATATTGCGTGTACTTAGAAATAGACAAGACTTATATAATGCATAATCCAACATTATAATCTGAAGCCATGTTTAGAACTAGACAAGCCAACCCAATCAAATTCGGGCAGAAAAAAAAAAAAGAATTACTCGAAAAGAATCAAATATTGGATACTATTGTCCATGACATTTGAGACCATGTCTCTTTCACTTTTTTCCCCCATCTTATTGATCATTATTAGTAGCATCAAATCAAATCTTTTACTTTTAGTTAATTTATATTAATTGTATCATACTCAAATCTTCTTCTCGTAGTTTTAATTTCACTAGAAAACCAGAGTAAGAAACAAAAAAAAAAAAGGCAACAACTCTTTGCTATTCCTAATTGACGACAGATAATATAAGAGAAACTTATCTTTTTTCATCTGGAACTCTCTCAATAAATATTAGCTTCATAATGATGAGAATCTGATTAAACAAAACTGTTTAGTTATGAACTTAAAAACCAAGTTTAAGGTGATTATTTAACCAAAGAGATATATTTTAATTATACACAAGTTACTTAACAAGGAGAACACAAAAACCGTTTATAGGAAGCGGTAAAACATTAAAAACCCTCAAGGGGTAAAAAAAAACGATCGGATTAACTAAAACTAATCACCCCAACCATTAACTAAAGTAGTAATAATTATACAGTTAAGCCAGTAGCAATGGCTCGATTCATATTATCAAGACGAGTGGTTTCGTAAACTGGGAGCTCTTCTCGATACCTCTCGATCCCAATCGCCGAGAGATTCTCCAATTCGAATAGATCAGAGCTCGCGCAACTCGCGGCATCATCGTCCTCGTCTTCTTCTACATTGGCGATGTACTTGATGTCCTCGTCGTACGTTGTAGTAACCTTGTTTTTGTTATGGTAAGTTCTGAGAAGATCCTTGGCAGCTTGGATGACACGGCGATGCTCTTCCATAACGTCGCGTTTATCTTCGTTACTACCGTAGAGCCTGTTGTTGTAAGTGTATGGCATGGGAATGGTAGAGGAATCTTCGTCGAGGATCACATTGACTGGACAGAACCGTACGGATCTTTTTGATTTGCCGCTAGACGACGGGGTTTTACTCAAGCAAGACCTGGAGAAGGACGAGGCGGAGGAGCATGTGGTGGAGGAGGAGTGTACTGTTTCTCCCACGCGCACGGGGGAGGTGGTTTTCTTGCGCTGCTTCTTAGGGTTAGCTGCGGCGGCGTTGGTGAAAAGAGAGTTAAGGAAAGTAGCGAGTCTGCCGCCGGGGGAGATGGGTTGTTTCACTTTTTTCAAATCGGAGTAGATCTTTAACGCTTTTGACTTGGTTCTCAAGAAGCCACCGAGTTCTTTAGGTTTCTGGAGGGGGGAGGAGTGGTCGACGGTCGATGTTCGGATAGGCTTGGGTTGTTGACGAGTACTGGACGGAGGAGGAGGGGAGGCAGAAGATTTGGAGCGACCGTAGAAAGAATCAGACTCGGAAGATGAGAATGCACCGCCGCTAGAATCAGAGGAGCTGGAGTTAGAATGTATGAGAAAGTCGGTGGCGGTAGTACTCCTCCTCATGGATCTCTCGAAATCAGCGGCGACAGAGCGGCGGTGATCAGCTGGAGAGACCTCATGACGGTGATGGTGATGATGATGATGTTTCTTGTTTCTAGTGGAGTCGAGGGAGGCAGGGGAGGAATCGTCGATGGAGCGGTAGATTTGGTCGAGGAGAGAGGAGGAGAAGGAAGGGTGACGACGGTGGTGAGATGAAGGGATAGGCTTCTCCCAAGTCTCCATGAGAGAAAAGCTTTCAGGTGTGTGTGTGGGGAGGATAGGAAGAAGAGAGCAAAAGGAGAGATGTAATGAGAGAGGAAGAAGCAAGGAAGGAGGAAGCAAGTGTGTTTTATAAAAGAAGAATGTAATAGAGAGGCCAGCCCAGACAACAACAACTAGCTTTGCTTAAAGTAATCATTGCCACGTGTCTTTCTCGACAGCTTATTTATGGACTCTCTGCTTCTTCCCCCACACAACTTTTACATAAACACCAATCATCTTCGTTCTTTTTTTCTCTTAATGTTTTGATACTATAACATATGGTTAAACTACCTACGTTCACGTATTAGGAAATACTGACATTCATGTGGAAGAAACATTATATATATAGAGACTAGTCTATATAACGGAAGTTCGGAACCATACAATAGTAACTTCGTGATATAAAAAGTTAGCTAAATAGATTATTTTATAGTTCGAATAAATTAGTGATGTTTTATTTCTTAATATAATATTTATACTAGAAATACAGTAAAACAAAAAAAAAAGAAAATTAATGTGAAGTGAAATGTTCCTGGATACGACGATTATTCATCACTTACAAAGATTAATAAGGGAAGAAAAAAGTGAGAGTGTAATTTGCCACCTTAAAACGTAAAGCGTAAAAAATATATATATATATTCTTCTAAAAATATCTAAAATATAATTTTTTCAAATGTCCATGAATCAAAATGGTTAAAGAGAAAGAAATAAGAAGAATTTGTCCTGAAGAATAAAAGGGGAATTGTGGGATATATATATCACAGTACTGCTGGGTTACAGAGGAGCTTAGGCTTTTAATCACATGACATGACCCAAAGAGATTCACTTATGTGTTCCCTACTTATAAAGTTAAAGATTAAAGTTGCTCCTTCCCTCATCATCATCATAAGTCTTCATTAATTTTGTTTTCCATTTTTTTTCTGTATTTATTTCATTATATATATACTAGAAAAACAAATCTATCATATATATATATATATATATATTTATTTACAGCAAAACCAATACTGATACTTGGGTGGTCCATTACAACTTTCTTATATTTTATTTCATTTTTGCTAATTTTTCTCTTCTAAACTCATGATGCCTGAGTAAACAGTGTAAAAAACTACAACGTTCTAAATGTTCATATAAATAATACAAATATTATATTGTGTCACACAAAACATGGACGTTAAAACATAATTAATAAAGTTTGAGAAACTCCAAAGTCTAATTAAACCGAGGAGAAGCAACGACGAGAGAGACCTCATAAAATTCTTGTAATGTCAAGTTCTCATAAAAGTCTTGCATCCATCAAACCAAATTTGTTAGAACAAATCTAATTAAAAGCAACATTTTAAACTCTAGAACCACGCACAAAAAGAAAAATAGTCTGTAGATATGAAAATAAAAGCGATGGCGATACTAAGAAAACCCTACGACCGCTATATATAGGTTTTACCGCTTTAGAAATCAGAAAGAAACATATAAGAAGCAATGTTGTGTTTAATTTGTGAAGTGTAGTAATTAAAGACTGGTTAATTAAAAGAATGAACTACGTATTGGCAGACGAAGAAACAACAGTCAAGCAATGCGGCTAAAAAGACTCTCTTATCACTTATTAACCTAACCAACAATTTTTTTCATTAACAACCATAGTTTTGCAACACACTACTTTAATTGGTAATTGATCGAGTTCCTCCTTCCTAGCTAGTGGTTATACTACTTTATAATGTTTTGATAATTTTGAATTTGTTACATCTGATTTTTTAGAAAAATTCTTATAGTATATGTGTGTGACAAAAATTGCTAGGAAGGAGGGCAAAACAGCAGGGAGCCAACAGTATAATGAAAATTATTAAGACATAGACTGCGAGATTAAGACAATATCTGATTAACAAAATCAGGCTTTATTACCAAGTAGAGTAGATTTTATTTTTAAATTTCCTTTTAATTATGAAGATTTACTGTAAACGTCGCTTTCTCTTACCATTTTAAAGTGACCCAACAGTATTATAAACTTATAATATCGATTGTTGTCTTTATAAGTTTTTTGTTTTTTTTTAAAACAACAATACCATAATATGTAACTGTTCGAATGAAATATTGTCTATCTATGTAATAAAGTTTGAATCCAAAAAATTTTACTCAGCTATGATGATTAGATTTTTATGTTAAAATCTATACTTTGTCTTTTCCGGATTTTCCTCTATAAGGATCCTTTTTATTTCTACAAGTTGATCCTAACTTTGAAATGGAATCATTGATTGTAATCAGCTTCTTTCTCATATTAACATCTAATTTGTTGTTATTGCCTTTACGTGAATAACATTTAAGATGGATAAAATGTTTTAACATGCATGAGGTAAATAAATACATGTGTGTTTTTGAGCAAATGTCGTGAACGACAAACACATACATATTTTTTTCGTCGTCATGAACAATAACATGGTAGCATCAATAGCTAAAACGCAATATCAATATTTTTTTTTGTTGAAGTTCTTTTTCACAATATAGTATTCGTACGCACACCATGGGACAGAATTAGTATAATCAGTCTCCACATGTAATGATATGTAAAGTTGATTACTTATACGGTTAGCTAACGGAAAGCACTTTATTTTATATAACAAAGAAGGAATTAATATAAATACTAATGACTTTTATCAAGCCGCAAAATCTTTGGAAGAGATTATACAATTATCTCTCATACTAATAAATCTTAACTTTTTAATATTGTGTAATTTGTGTTGTCCAGAGAAATAGTACAAAGAATAGCTAGAATGATTCATATACTGCATAAGCATGCGGCCGGTGCCTAGTTATTATATATATACAGGCTAAACTTTTGTAATTTGAGTGGCGTAGTTGGGTAAGATAGAGAGTGTATCTTATTCAGTTTAAATCGTACATTAAATCACTTTGGTTTTGTTGATATGTATTTTCTGCGGAGGTTTTTTAGAATTTTTAGAATACGTGTGTGTGAGAGAGAAGAATGCATGTTAAAAAATATAATTTATGGTGCTAATTTTGCAAAATGATTACTCCCGTGGGCTAAGGGGAACTCTATTTCTTTAATCTATATACTTTCATGCATCAATGGGAAACAGATGCATGCGTGGGTAGCATAAATTGCTTAAATATTGATATTAATTATATAAACATACCGTATTTTATTCCTATAACTAAGAAAACTAGTTACTTTTACAAAAACTCGTTTCTCCTATATTACATTCTCTAACACTTTTTTAATTATTTTTTTCATCAAGCCGGCATGTTTCATAAGGTTTTACCATTGAATGCACACAACACATGCATGTTATTATTATTTACTCTAGTTATGAACGCCTCTTCGAATCCACGAAACTTCACACTCGTGGAGCTCTTCATTAACCGGACCCATCTCTAGCATACCACTTTTGCAATAAATAACATCGATCAGTATGTAAGCTATTCATTACAAAACCTTACCAAAACTTTCAAGTATGCATGGTCAGGTACTCAGGTATATGTATAGTTCAAGTAACATGTACGACGATCGGGAGGTCATATTCTTCCCTCTGTGATCTTCAAAAACATAGATCGGGAGGTCAAAAACGCTATCACCGCCCGAAGATCAAGAAAGCTTTTCAAGAAACTAATGAGACTTTGGATTGGCTAGCCTTTTGGATTCTATGAATCATCTTGTATTGTTTTCCTTGTTTTATTTTTTTGCCAAGGAAACTTTGTAATGGGTGAAAGCCCTGTTTTCATATTTATATGATATTTGCATTTTAGCAAAAAAACATGTACGACGATATTTCGAAAACTCTTGTAAACGCATATATACCACCATAGGTAAAAAAAACAAAGAGAGAGGGAACTCCCACGAAAGAAGAAGAATTTATATGTACAAGATTCGATTCCACGCATGTGTGTGGATATGATAAACTAAAAAAATAAATAAAAGAATGACAAAAGATATTCCGATCAAATCACGATTGAGTTGGTGCATGGAAATAGGCAAAAAAGCAGATTCCATTTAAATCAAATAGCTAGAGACACTCAACAAACAACTCTCTTTTTTAAGAGAGAAAACGTTTGATAATAATATATATTTCCTCTAACAGCCCAATCAAAGAAGAAACCTCACTAACCATTTATACCACCAAATTCACTAGTGTTGGTCTATGTGTATGAATAGATGAATGGATGTCTATAAATCACTCCACTAGGCACTATCTCTATCTATATATTGATTTGACATGTCATGTTTAACATATCACATTACAACGTTTCCAACATATATATATATATATATTATATATATCATCCTCTACAAAGAAACTACAACTATTAACTGCATTGCAATTACGTTTCAACAACTCTTAACATAATTTAGATGATTTGTTGGGAGAAACTAATCTTTTTTTTTTTTTTTGATTCAACAAACGGGAATCAATAGATCCCCTATAACGATCATGAAACCTTTTGACCTTTTAGCAAAAATAACCACTATTTGCCAATTCTTCTTAATCTCTTACAATGATTCATTTCATTCTACTATAGATGAGATATAGAATAGGGTCCGAAATTAAACATCATTATCCCTCTTACATGCGGGTTATCTAAGTGATAGAACACTCTACTCTACGTTTAGCCAGTCTTAATCAGGGATTATTTTTCTCCTACAAAATCTTCTCAATCATTTCCAGTACCATTCCATTAATTCAAGCCAGTCCTTGATTGTGCAGTAGGTGTTATTAATATGGGAGTGAAATCAACAGTGAACCCACGTTTAATCAACTCGGCACCGGTCAAAATGAGACGAAATCGAGTATTAGCGCTCAAAATCATGCAAAGAGATTCGTAGAGTAAATCATTTTTCAATTAAGGTAGGACTTGGGAGATAAAAAAAGAGCCACGGCCTATTAAATCATAGGAGCAATCAAAGTCCGTACAAATTAGACTCTATGTTAAACTAGTTGGCCCCTTGATTTAAGACCCACCTCGCTAAACTTAAGTATATTTAGTTCTCTGAATATGTATGTCAACAAAACGATCAATTAGATTCTTT